GGCCGGGCACGGGAAGCTCAGCCGGGCCGCGCGCGCGCGCGCAGAGCAAGGCCCAGGCTCTGCTCCGGGACCCAGCGATGGCACCAGAGGAACGGGCAGGAACTGATGCTCAGAAGTTCCACCAGAACGTGAGGATTTCTTTCCTGTGAGGGTGCGGAGTCTCCCTAACTGGAGACATTCCAGACCCATCTGGACACAATCCTGTGCCGTGTGACCTGCGATGGCCCTGCCAGCGCAGGGAGGTGGCACCAGGCCAGATGATTCCAAGAAGGGATTTAGTCCGATCAGGTCACCATCACCCACTCAAGAACTCCACAGCATTTCCATTCACCTTTTCCAAAGTTAGTGTCACAGAGACGTTTATTGGCTTTCGTACAAAAGTTGACAACATTTAAAAATAACAATTACAAATACTCTTAACAAAATTCCTACTGAGAGTAGGTTTAGATTAGATATTGGGAAAAAATTCTTTATTCAGAGGGTAGTAAGGTCTCAGCACAGATTCACAGAGAAGCCATGGCTGCCCCATTCCTGGAAGTGTCCAAGACCAGGTTGGGCATAGCTTGGAGCAACCTGGTGTAGTAGAAGCTGTCCCTGCCCACAGCAGGGTTTGGAACTTTATGATCTTTTAAGGCCCCTTCCAACCTAACCCATTCTGTGATTCTATAAAACCTCTCCCAGCTTCCTGTTTACATGAACAGTGTGAACCCCCTCCAGCAGAACACTGTCCAGGAGCTGTGCACCCTCTGAGGCAGGCAGGTCACAGTCCTGCACGGAGGACTCAGTCCTCTTGGCACGATTCTCTGCAGGCTCACATGGAACACGATCCTCACCTCCCCCAGCATCTGCTCAGCAAGTCCCAGCCAAGAAGCTCCTGGTCAAGGTCTGTCCCAAAGGTTTTATTGCACAACCCATGGCTGCTTGTGCCTCAGGCTGGGGCTTGGCCAAAGGCAAAGCCACGGTGAGAACTTCAGCACGGCAGTGGCCATGGCAAAAGAGCCCAAATTCAGCAGAAAGAATCACAAACACACACAGAACATCCACAGGAGCTCACTTGAAGGCAGTAGCTCACACAATGATCGAGGTGACTCAACCTTTTCAACATGTTCTAGACCTTTACAGAAGACTCCATAAAAAAGCACAATGATTTTAGGCTTTAGCATAAGTCCAAAGTGGCAACACACTGTGTTGTTAATTATGTAAACTCATTCATTTTCTGGTGAAGGAAAGCTTTCACCACTGCAGATTTTTAATCTAGGAAAGAAGCCCCTGTGCTGCAGAACAGAGAGCAGCTCTGCAGCAGGGAAGGGAGAAGTTGTTGGAAGTGCTTTGGCCTTGTCATTGGGGAAACAGTCAGAAACCCAACCCAGCAGTGCTCTGGGTGTTCCCTGCAAGGTGACATTACACACTTGTCTCTGTGGAGCACAGGAGCAAGGCAAGCTTTAGCTCTGCCTCTCGACAACAACCTAGAGAGCATTTTCTCCTCTCCACAGCATAAACAGGGCTCTCCTTCTGCTCTCCTACTGTTTTGAGAAGTTAGAGCCACCTGAGCTGTTCATAGTGCAGTGACTGACCCTCCCCAGGCAGCTCTGCTCCAGAACCTGCCCTCACAACATGCCAGAATTTGATCACAGCTTGGTAAAACAGCACTGAAAACTTGCCAAAGGGAACTCAGCTTGTTCCTTGTTCCTCTGCAAGGCCTTGGCCTAGCTGCTTCCCCCCACTGGGGCTTGGTTCCTAACTGTGGAGCAGAGATAAGACCTGGAGCATGCTCTGTGTGTAGAGATTTGGGAGGACTTTGCTCAGAGCACGTTCTGTTCCCTAGCAGGATAACAGAAGTTTCCAAGCGTGCAGCCCTCAGATCCCTCAACTGCTGGGCTGCAGCTTCTCCTTGCCACTGTTGTGAGCAAGGCACACGTGTGGGCAGCAGTGCAGGTGAGCTGGGAGCAGCAGGCTCAGAGCCTGCTTCCATGACACTCCAGCTGCTCCCCTGTGAGCCAGACTGGGGGGCAGGAAAGGAGGGAAATCATGGAGACAAGTGTGAGGGAGAACAAGGCCTGTAAGAGCCAAATATTTACTGCCAGGAGACTTCATGAAATCTTTTAGGTTGGAAAATTCATTTAATATCATTTAACCCAGCATTGCCAGGTCCATCACCAAACCCATCTTCAGGGGAAGCTGAAGGATGTCCAGAAGCCCCAACAGTCAGCAATTCCAATTTTCCCCACAAGGACACATTTTATTTTTCAGCATTTTAGGATAGCACACAAAAGTAGCATTTAAACACCTAACAGGGAAGAAATGTTTGGCACTAAAATGCCTTGTGCACCTGCTGTGCTGAGGCAAAGGTCTCCAACAAACTGTTGGTCAAGTCTTTCCTGCATCTATTGCCTTTTAAAGCCAAAGAGAAATGTTAGGTTGCCCTGATTCGGCATGATGGATAATTCCCTCTTTAAGTGACAGGAATTACATTTTCAGCTCTAGAAAGTGAAGCCAGCATTTTATTCTGCAGCTTTAACTGAGCACACAGAAATGGGATGCAGATCCCCAGACTCTGAAGTCTGCAATGTTCACTTGTTTGTGCATGATTAAAGCTCAGATTTACCTCTGTAAAGAATTACCATTTACAACTCCTTTTTGCCCAGAGGCTGACCAGGAGGTTCTCCACTTCATTGACTTTAATAAATAGATGATAAGAATAAAAGAGGAAAGGCTGGATGCCACAAAACATCAGATCTCCCAGGTTATTTGCAACATGCCCAAGTGGAGCAGTGACTCAGAAGGTGAGCATTCCTCCCCAGCAGTGCAGAGCCTGCTCAGAGCAGGACCTGGAATTTGGGAGTTCAGGCAGTGCTTCACTCCCTGCCTGTCAAATGAGTCACTTGAATTTCAACAATATTTAAATAACAGCCTGCATCTCCCAGGCAGCAGCAGCCAGCACACTACAAGCACAGCACTGTCATTTCCATGTTACAAAACGTGCAGGTGTCTCTACTCACACCCACCTGACAGAGCTCTGCAGTTGAGTTTGATAAGGAAATCATCCACACAGAAAACTCCAAGCAGCAGGACACAGCAGGGCCCACAGCAAGAGGCTCAAGCTGCCCTGTGTGCCGCTCACAGGACACTGATCTGTCACTTCCAATGTCCCCGTGGCAGCTGGCAGGCAGAGCTACAGCAGTTCCAGGGACAGGCACTCCTCATGTAACAGGGACAAAGATTGCCGTGCCTGGGAAAGCACAGGGCTGGGAGTCAGGATTCATGTTTGCCAAACAAACAGCTTTCCAAACGTCCCCGCTCCGGCTGTGGACACTGACTGTTCCAGACAGCGCTGTTTGGGACTGCTGCATCCAGGGGCACCTTGGCTTTGCACAAGGCCTGGCTCTCCTCCAAGAGCAAACTTCCTTTTCTGTCCCAATTCAGGGAACTCAACCCATCTAGCTGCCGCTTGGAAAGGCCCTGTAGGACACTGTGTTCAGAAAATTCTGAAACACTTTGCCTAGACAGCACCAAAAGGCGGCTCAAGAGAGCTGAGGAACAAACTGGTTTGTTGTTCCAGGACAGTGTCCAGTGACCATTTCCACTCCAGCTGCCCTGACCATATGAGGGGCCAATTTGAAATGCTGGCAGTGCTGCTTGGCACAGTCAGCTGCAGTGGGTACCCAATGGTTTGTCACACTACAGACACTTCCCAGCTGTGCCAGCCAGGGCTCTGCAGCTGATCCAGAGTGGGAAAGTGCCCAGCCTCTAACAGAGCCACTTCTGCTGTTCAGTCACAATCTTTGCAAACAATGCTGCTCAGACTGATCACTTCACACCACCATGCTAATGTTTTATTTTTATCTCCCATTCAATTTGCCACAGCAGGACAAGAGCAGGCAGAATGGGAAGGCAGAACACTGGTAGTTACCAGGAGTGCTTTACAATCAAACAGAATTCAGAGGTGCAAGAGACTGCAGAGAATTTAGTGACCCACTCTGCAAAGCCCACAACTCAATAACCCAGAAAATTCCTACTTCTCCTAGCCACAAACCTAAAAAAACACTTATAATTAGCAGTGAGATGGCACTTTCAGGAGAGCAGGACAACATCCAGCTGCAGTTGGCTGGCTGGATGCAAAAGCTGGAAGTATTTGTACATTAACAGATATCAGATTTCAAGGCACTTCATTTTCTAGATTTCTTTAAGCATTATTTTTAAAATGCACCTTAATACAGGACATGCATAATTCACTTTGGAATGAACTGCTCATTATCAGTGAAGTATCATAAACTTAACAAAAAGGAGAATCTTTGTGGCTCTCAGATTCCCCCCTTGCTCCTTTAATCACATTCCAGCTATCAATTTCTCAGCTGCAGATAGCTCACACTCTCTGCAGCTCTGCTTGAATCAACCTCTCAGTGACTTTTCTAACAGGGGACAGGCAAGTCACTGCAAAAGGTGAACACAAGGCACACAGAGAGTGGGACCACAGTGCCCAGCATAGTGTGGGGACACAGCAGATACAGAGACAAAAAAAATAATTAAGTTTTTAAGAAGTACCATCTACAAACTGGCTCTAGTTTCCTCTTTGTCCTCTATAAAGAGGTAAAGAAAGTAGAGCCCCAAGCTGAGCTCCATTCTCCTAATGGGAAACCTGAGCACGGAGCAGAATGAAACACTGCTACCTGCTGCACTAGCACCAGCAGTGCTACATGATTTTTCAGGGCGCGTCCTCCTTCCGAAGAAAGTCTTCTACCAGCTGATCAAACTTCTGTGCAGAAAACTCCTTTACAACATTCAAGGGACTGAGTAAATACTGCTCTGCAAATCCAGTTGCAAGGTGCTCACTGGAAACAGGTGCTGCTCCTGCTCTTCCCAGCTGTTCCCTCTCACCTCTGTGACAAGTGCAGCCTTCTTTTGAGCAGAGACCTGGCTCACAGTCGTGCTGAGGAACCTTAACACCTGTAAATGCTTCAGGTTTCTCCTTATTTTTCTCTGGGGACTCATAAACAACCCCTCGAGGCACAGAACTCCCCAGGGATCTTTTCCGGACATTTGTGGGTTTCTGCCCCCTCCTTTGGCTTTGCTGCTGTCCAGACTCATGCATGGGCTTTGGGACTCTGAAGTCAGGAAGCACCTGGGGAGCAGAGCTTTCAGGTACTTTCAGGTATTCCTGAAAGTAATCCTGGCACATGTCACCCTTCACAATGGGAATGATGGAGCAAGGTCTCAGCCACTTCACGAACTCGCGCAGCTCCTCGAAGGACGAGTGATCCGAGTAAGGGATGAGGTGCATGTTGGGGTGGGTGACCTTCACGGGCATGCCCGTGGGGATGATGGCAATGGTGGGGTGCTGTGCATTCCAGGTGACGAGCGTGTCCCAGCAGATCTCGGTGACGTTCACGGCACGGATCCAGCCCGTGCCCTCCTCGGCGGTGAACACATCCGGCAGCTCCAGCAGCCGCATCTGCTCCAGGCGCCAGGGGCTCACCACCACCCACGTGCTGAACTCCAGAGCCAGGTCCACCAGCAGCGTCTCCTTGCCCAGGCTGTACACACCTGCCGGGGGAGCAGCAGCTCAGGGACAGCGCAGGGGGACACAAGCCGTGCTGGCAGAAGGGAGGGCAGCACTCACCGATGACCACGTTGTGCCCTGGGTGGGCACGGATGAGGTGGGCAGCCTGGCGGGTGGCCACCGCCCGCGAGGGCAGCGCCCGCTGGGGCTGGCAGTGCGTGTTGTCCAGGTACAGGCGGTCGATGTGGCGGCCCCTCAGCGCCGGCTCGTCCTGCATGGCGCTCGTGTAGCGGAAATCTCCTGCAAGGACAGGGATGGCAGGGCCCAGAGAGGGTGTGGAGTTTCCCTCACTGAGGATATTTCAGAACCAGCTGGTCACAATTCTGTGCCATGTGCTGTGGGACAACCCTGCTTGAGCAAGGCATTGGGACTGATAGTAAAAGGGTTTTTAAATCATGGGGATTTAGGGTTAGAAGGAAAATTAAGCTTAGTAGGCCCTGAAAAAAATACCTTGGGATAGTGTAGGCCTTGTAGCTTGCTAGAACTGCACCTGTGTAACTAGTACATGATAAATTATATCATTAATAGATGTGATGATTATTTAGTAATTAAATATAATTACTGTTTAATTGTAAGAGTAATCATGAGAAATGGTAGTCAGAGGCTTGAGAAAGATCACAAGAAACTGATGCTTCAATAAAGTCAATGTATACAATAAAACAATGTAAGTTTAATAATTAATATGTAAGTTATATAATGATAGAATATAAAATACTTTCGGCTCAAAAGTCATGTCGGATTCAGATTTGGATCTGTACCCGTTTCCCAGAGCTCTTTCAATAAAAGCACCTGCATATAATTATATCCCCTGATTATGTGTGCTCCTGAACGCTAACAGGATCAGGTGACCCACTGCAGTCCCTTCCAATCTGACTCATTTTGTGATTCTGTAATTGCGGGAACCTGCCCTGTACCTGTGTAGAGGATGGTGCCAAAGGTGCCCTCAAAGAGGAACATAACGGAGCCAGGGCAGTGGTTGGAGTCGATCAGTGTCACCGTCACCTCACCCACGACATGGCTCTGCCCCACCTCGAGCGGCTGGATCCAGCACGTCGGCACCTGCAGGGGCGAGGTATGAGGGCTGGGCAGGCCAGATGACAGGGGACAGGCGAGCGGGGATGAGGCGGGTGGGGATGAGGCGAGTGGGGATGCCCAGGCGGGCCATACCTACCTGCAGGCGGTGGTGCAGGAGGCGGGCAGTGATGGGGGAGCAGTACAGCGGGCGATGCCAGGTACTGGACAGCCCCACCGTGTGGTCCGAGTGCATGTGGGATAGGAAGAAGAGGCGGGCGCCGGCCGCCCTCCGCAGGCTCCAGAAGTCCACGGCGATGGGGGTCCCGGCCAGCACCGACCCACTCATGGCGGCGGACGGGGAGCCCGCTCCCCTCACGCGCCTTTTGGCGGGAAGCGCCGCGCACGCGCGGGCGGCGCGGGGCGGGGCCGGGCCGCGCGCCAGGGGAGGGGCGGGGTTGCGCGCGCGGGGGTCACGCGGGCGGGGCGGGAACGGGATCGGGATCGGGATCGCGATCGCATCTGCATCCTGGGGTCTGGGACCGGGATCGGGACTGCGACTGGGATTAGGGCTGGGATCGGGACCCGGGATCGGGACTGCGACTGGCAGCGGGTCCCGGGACTCGGAGCGGGAGCGGCGCTAGGAGCGGGACCGGCGCGGGGCCATGCCGTACCTGGGCGGCGAGGAGGCGCTGCGGGAGCTCCGGCGGGCGCTGTCGAACCCGCACGTGCAGGCGGACCCGGCGCGGTACCGCGGCGCCGTGCTGCGCGTGATCCGGTACGGCGGCCGGGCCGGGCCGGGCCGGGCCGGGCCGGGCCGGGCCGGGCCGGGCCGGGCGGGGGGCGCGGGGCGGGGCCGGGCCGCGCTGAGCCCCGTGCCCGCCGCAGGCTGATGGCGCAGGGCGCCGACGTGTCGGGGCTGTTCCCGGAGATGGTGAAGGCGGGCGCGGTGGCGGACGTGCTGCAGAAGAAGCTGGTGTCGTTCTACGTGCGCGCCCAGGCGCCGCGGCAGCCGCAGCTGGCGCTGCTCGCCGTCAACTCGCTGCGCAAGGACTGCGCGCACCCCAGCCCGGCCGTGCGGGGGCTCGCCCTGCGCACCATGTGCGGACTCAGGTGCGGCGAAACGGGGCCGGCCCGGGGCGTGTCCCTGGCCGCCGTGCCCCGCTGACGGCCGGCTGGCCTCCCGCAGGATGCCCGGGATCCAGGAGTACCTGCAGCAGCCGCTGGTGAACGGGCTGCGGGACAAGGCATCCTACGTGCGCAGGGTGGCCGTGCTGGGCTGTGCCAAGATGGTGAAGCTGCAGGGGGACTGCGAAGTGGGTGAGTGGCTGGTGGCCGTGGGGCTGGGGATTTGCAGGTGCTGTGGTCGTGATGCACGTTCAGCCCTTAGGGCTGTCCTGGGGTCCCTGCGCTGCCCCTGCGTTGTGGCTGCAGGGCAGGAGAGAGAAAGTAATTAAAGGTAATTAATAAAAGACTGAGAAAATTGCGGTGTGCCAACAGATCTTGAAGGCAGGAGCTCTGTGCTTTGCAGATGGTGCTCTGGTGAACGAGCTGTACAGTTTGCTTCGTGACCAGGACCCCATTGTGGTCGTGAACTGTCTGAGGGCCTTGGAAGAGATTTTGAAGAAGGAGGGAGGTGTTGTCATCAACAAACCCATTGCCCATCATCTTCTCAACAGGTTTGTTTTCTTTGGCGTTAAGATGATGCTGGGAGCTTCTCTTGTTCTCCTGTGTTCTATGCAGACAGGCAGTTTTTGGGGGACGCAGCCTTTTCTGCACAGATGTTCCTGCCCTCCCTGACTCGTGCCCCCTGTGCCCCTGGCAGGATGCCTGACCTGGACCAGTGGGGGCAGAGCGAGGTGCTCACCTTCCTGCTGCGCTACAAGCCCCGCAGCGAGGACGAGCTCTTCGACATCCTCAACCTGCTCGACGGCTACCTCAAGAGCAGCAGCCCCAGCGTGGTGATGGCAGCCACCAAGCTGTTCCTGGTGCTGGCCAGGGAGTACCCAGATGTGCAGGCAGATGTGCTGGTGCGGGTGAAGGGCCCGCTGCTGTCTGCCTGCACCTCGGAGAGCAGGGAGCTCTGCTTCACCGCGCTCTGCCACGTGCGCCAGATCCTCAGGAGTCTGCCCGGCCACTTCAGCAGCCACTACAAAAAGTTCTTCTGCTCCTACTCGGAGCCCCACTACATCAAATGCCAGAAGATGGAGGTGCTGTGTGAGCTGGTGAATGATGAGAACGTGCAGCAGGTGCTGGAGGAGCTGAAGGGTTACTGCACTGACGTGTCGGAGGAGCTGGCGCAGGGAGCGATCTTTGCCATAGGTGAGAGCTGTGCCTTGGCTTGGCTGCAGCCCTGCACCTTTCAGGGGGGCTGTTCTCTGCTGAGGAGTGCCTGGGCAAGCACCAAATCACTGCTTTGTGCTGCAGCAGCATGGACACCCACCTGCCCAGGAGCAGTTTGTGTCAGAGTTTCTGGAGCACTGATTGTTTCACAAGTCCTGGCGCTGTGCTGCTTCAGGTTGTGCAGAAAGTCCTTGAATCTCATGCTGTAGGAGATGCTCTAGACAAAATGTGTAATTTCATCTTGTTAATGAGCCTTCTAGCATTCAGTGAGGCTGTGCGGGGGGTGGAGGAGCTCTAATACCTGCTTGTTCTTTGAGTTCTGGTGCGGGGAGAGTTAAGGTGATAGTTTTGGTTTTGTGAGCTTTAAAAATAGGTGAATTACTACAGTATTCTTAAGGAGAAAGTTGGAGTATGATAAAATGCCTTTTTTGATGTATTATATTTAAGGAAAGTTCAGAAATCTTCTGAGGCATGGCCTCAAAAAAAAGAACATGTCCCTGGTGTGGAGAACAAGCTCATGTGGCCACACTTCCAGAAACAGTAGTCAGAAAGGAAAGGAGGGCGACTGTGATGAGTAGCTGGGTTTATGATTCCTGTTTCACTCTGCTAGAAGGTTGATTCTTTTGTCTTTTTGGCATCCTTGCAGCCAATATTGCCAGGACATACACAGAGCAGTGTGTGGGGATTCTGACAGAGCTTCTGGGGCTTCAGCAGGAGCACATCACCTCAGGTAACCATTGCAGGCTGCTGCTGGTTTATGCTCTCAGGAGGTGCCTTTGCTGGAGCTCGTGATCCCAAACTCAAAGACACTTGGCTTTCAGTTTAATTGGCACCTTCAGCTGGAAGTTTTCCAGGTGGGTTGAGGGGTGTAAGGTGTGTTCCTTCTGCAGGAGCTGCTCTCTGTGGGAAAGGGGAAGGGGTTGTAGCTGTGTTCATGCTTCTTTCTGGCTGCCACCTGCTGACTCAGGGAGTGAAGGGCTCAGCAGAGACATCTTGCTGTCTATTTGAGAGCCAAGATGATTAATAAATCTTTTTGATCTCTGTGATTTCTGTTCCTCACATAATAGTCTGATTCAGTTGTGCCCAAGCTTCCTTTTTTCTCTTCTGCCCTCAGATCCACCTTCACATTGCTGCTGTTCCTGCTGTTCTCTTTTAACTGGTCTTGCTCTCAGATTTGAAAACCACACACTTGCACTCAGCTGTTCAATTCCATCTCAGGAGCTGTTGGTGTGCCTGAGTGGGCAGCAAAACCTTTCAAGTTTTGACCTAAAGTTCATGAGCCTCATTTTGAATCGGGGTCAGCTTTTATTTGTCATTCCAACCTCGTGTGTCTGAAGCATCATGAGTCAGAGGCTTTTTAAAGGCTGGCAGTGACCAGAAGAGAGGCTGCTCTCCAGCAGAGGAACAATCTGAAGTCTCAGTGCTTTATTTTAGACCTGGTGCAGCTTTGCTCTGACAAATGCAGTCGTGGGATTGGGAAGGAGGATGCCTCAAATCACAGTCTCAGGCAGGGCACTGACCCTCCTGGCAGAGATTTACACAGCCCCTTGAGTGGGGGGGGTTTGAAATGATTTTTCTTTTCTCTAGTGGTTTTTATAACTCCTGGGGGATGCTGATAACTTGTTTTTTCTTGCAGCTGTGGTCCGTACTTTCCGGGACCTGGCCTGGCTGTGTCCCCAGTGCACAGATGCCGTGTGCCAGGCCCTGCCTGGCTGTGAGGACACCATCCAGGACAGTGAGGTGAGGGGGAGGATGGACAACGACTGCTCAGCTTCCCTTTGCCTTGAGATTGGGGGCAAAAATCAGAAATCCTCAGATTTGTTCTCCCATTGTGCTTATTTGGTGCCAACACGTGGCACACAGCAGCTGTTTGCTGGTGTTCCTGTGGTTCCTTCAGGGCAAACAAGCACTGATCTGGCTCCTGGGCACCCATGGGGAGAAGATCCCCAATGCTCCCTACGTCTTGGAGGACTTTGTGGAGAACGTGAAGTCGGAGTCGTTCCCAGCAGTGAAGATGGAGCTGCTGACGGCGCTGCTGCGCCTGTTCCTGGCCCGGCCCGCCGAGTGCCAGGACATGCTGGGCAGGCTGCTCTACTACTGCATTGGTGGGTTCCCTGTGTCCCCACAGCTCTGAGGACCTGCTCTGGCTGTGTCCCCAGGCTGTGTCAGTGCCCTGGCTCTGAGGAGGCCGTCCAGGCTGCTTCCAGGTGCTTCCATGGCTTGGGCTGCTGCCTGGCCCATGGCTGGCTGATGAGTGTGGAGTCATGGAATCAGAATGGAACAGACCTTGAAGATCATCCAGTTCCACCCCCTGTCCTGAGCAGGAACACCTTCCCTGTCCAGCCTGGCGTTGGGCATTGCCAGGGATCCAGGAGCAGCCACAGCTCCTCTGGGCACCCTGTGCCAGGCCTCTCCCCCCTCACAGGGAACAATTCCTTCCCAATATCCCATCTAATCCTGCCTTCTGTTGGTTTAAAACCATTCTCCCTTGTCCTTTGGCTGTCTGCCTGTAAGCAGGCTTGCATTGTATGCCTGACAGTCTGCTTTAACAATGAGGTGTTAGTACTGAGGGGCAGTGTGGCTGACAGAATCCTCCCTGGGTTGCATTTCTGTGGTTGCAGAGGAGGAGCAGGACATGGCCGTGCGAGACCGTGGGCTGTTCTACTACCGCCTTCTGCAGTCTGGGGTGGAGGAAGTGAGGAGGGTCCTGTGCAGCCCCAAGTCTGACCCCTCCATGGGGCTCCTGGGGGACCAGAGCAAGCAGCCTGTCAATGCCTGGGCTTCGGAGTTCAACACTCTGGCCACAGTTTATGGCAGAGAGCGCTGGGCCCTGGCCACTGCTCAGCAGCCTCTGGAACCCTCTTACTTCTGCCCTCCCTGTGCTGACTCCAGCAGCAGAGACACAGGTAAACCTGCCTCGCCTTCCTCTGGGAGCCATTCTCCCCTTGCCAGCAGATCACAGAATCCCAGAATGGCTTGGGTTAAAGGGAGCCTTGAAATTCCTCTTCTTGCACCCCCTGCCATGGGCAGGGATCTTCCACTGTCCCAGGTGCTCCCAGCCCTGTCCAGCCTGGCCTTGGGCACTGCCAGGGATCCAGGGGCAGCCCCAGCTGCTCTGGGCAGCCAAGATGTTCTCCCGTGGGTTTGTTTGGAAAAAGGTCAGAGGGCTTTGGGGATTTGGTGTGCAGTGTGTGGCTGGTCACTGACTAGCCCAGGAAATGCTGCTGGTGGCACTGGGGTTCCAGCCCTCCTCCATCCAATGGGCTTTGTGGAGCTGGGAGCTGCATCTCACAAGTGTTTGTGCTTTCATTTCAGAATCACTGGTTTCTGAAGGGAATAAGGAAGTCCCTGAGGTTCATCCTGATACTCTGATGTCTGAAGGGAATAAAGAACTCCTCAAGGCTCATCCTGATGCAGGCAGCCTAAGCTTGATTCCTGATGTTTCCCTGACTGCAGAACAGTTTGAGAAGACCTGGCTGAGCCTGGACACGAGCTGCCAGCTCTCTCTGCCCTGGTGTGGGCCTGTCCATGCAGACACCATCCAGACAGCCCTTCGTGTTGTGCACATCCAGACCATTGCCATGAGCAAAGCTGGAGCCCAGCCCTGGAAAGCTTATCTGAGTGCCCAGGATGACTCAGGCTGCCTCTTCCTCACAGAGCTCCTGCTTGAGGCAGCAGATTCGGAGCTGCAGGTTTCAGTGAAGCAAACTGAAGCAAAGCCAGAGGCACTGCAATCCTTCATCTCAGCCTTGAGGACAGTCCTGGAGGCAGTGGCTGGACTGGAGTCTTGACTGGTCCCTGCTCCCAGCAGGATGCATGCTCAGAGCACAGGAAAATTTGATTTCTCTGCGTTCTCTCGCCCTACCCAGTGCTGGTTTGGTAGTTTTAAACTGCAGAGTTTCCAGATTACCTGGAAAGCCCAGGTGGTGTGGGGGAAGCTGCAGCTGGGGCTGGGGAACAGGGCAGGGTGGAGGGTCTGCCCTCCCCCAGGCTGGGGAAAGGACAGGGTCACTGGTGTGAGTCACAGGACTGGTGGCATCTGTGGTGGGTGTCACGAGGCACAAACATCACTGATGGAACCAGAAGTGAGCAGAATTCAGGGGTGTGTTTTGGAGAGGTTTTTTTCCTGAGACTTAAAAATAATTTTAAAAAAACCCAAACCAAACACCAGAGGCACCAGGAGTCTGCCACTTACCTCACATTAAGAGGAACAGAGCAGTGAGAAGAGAATCTTTCATTCTTAGCTCCTTTTACACTTGTTTTAATTTGCTGTCTGGTTTCAGTAGTAGCTTTGCTTTGGGGTGAGCAGAGTTCTGCTGTGCCAGAGGAGGGTGGGCAGGGACATCCTGACTGCTGGAACCAACACTTCAAGAGACAGATGTGGGTTTTTAATTGAAATGTGGTACTGAGGTGAGAATTCTCTCTGAAGTTCCCCCCCAGCTCCTTCATTCAGGATGATGTACACAGTGAGATTGAGCTAACAGGGCTTTAGGGTACTCTGTGAGGAGCACAAGCTTCTTTTAACCCTCTTCTGATTTCTGATTTTCGGTTTCTTTGAATGACTCGATTGTACCCTCAAACGGCACTGTGCCTCCCATGCACTTCACCAAATCCCTGCCACTGTTAAACACACTTCCCTAATAAAAAGGTGAATAATTCTTGGCTGATTCTGGAGTTTCTTGTTCTTTCAACCCTCAGGACTGTGGATGGAGTGATCTGTGGATCAGGGCAGCTCTGCAGCCCAGCTCCTGCCTCTGTGTCCAACAGGGCCTTTCTCTCTGACCTTCCTTGCAGCAAAGCTTTAAGGAGCAATTGGGCAATAAATTAATCTCAGCCTCAAATGCCAAATTACTGTAAAGGGTGAACCTGCAGATGGACTCAAAGGCAGATCACCAGTTAGCTGTAGCAGGTTTCCTGCTGACAGTTGCCAGAGCTGTGTTGTGTTCCTGTCCTCAGGGAGAGCTGAAGTGGAAAACACCAGAACTTCCATCCCTGGAAAGTGTCCAAGGCCAGCTTGGATGGGCTTTTGAGCAACCTGGGATAGTGGAAGGTATCCTTGCCCATTGAGATGAGCTTTAAGTTCTCTTCCAACCCACACCATTCTGGGATTCTATGTTAAAAGCGTGAAGGGGAACTGTGGATTTTCCATGCTGTTTTATGGACTCTTCCAGCCCCATTCCAGGCTCAAAGCATTCCTGGTGAAGCACAGATCCTTGGGATGTGAATGCTCCACAGTTGCCCCCTGTGCTCACCCCTGGCTACCCCTGGCAGTGATGGCTGGACACGGTGCTGAAGGAATTGGGGTGGTGGGGGGCTTGGACTGGTGTCCAGCATGTCCCTACCCTTGTCCTCAGTGCTGCCCACCCCGTGCCAGGTGGGGCTGGTTTGAATGGAGGTGCCAGGGCCCTGTGCCGTGTGTTCTGTTGTGTTTGACCAGGATTATCTGCTACGCACTAATTTCCTTTGGGGCTGTGATGAAGTCAGAAAACCACAGGCAGCTCTCCCCGGCGGCGCCTTCCGCTGCGGATCACTTGACATGTCCCTTCCCAGGAGGGCCAGGCCAGGCACGCTCCGGCACCATGGACCAAAGGGAGATCCTGCTACAGAACCTGGAAAGGGCCCAGGGCAAGAAGCTCAGCCGAGGAGAGTTTGCAGAGGAGTTTTTGGTGAGTTCACTCAAGGCTTGGCTCAGCGCTTCAGCTCATGTCGGGGGAATCGCTCGGTCACCTCTCATACCTGTGACAGTGAGGTTTTCTAGGAGTTTTACAGCAGACACCCAGAAGTTAATTGGGCTAAGAGGAATGTGAAGACATGATAGGAAATTAATAGTTTGCATTTGAACTGTTTGCTTTTTAACTAATCACCCGAGTGCTTCCTGTTTTCTGCTTGGTGAATGCACTTGTCGGGACACGGTTTCACTTTGCCTGGTAACAGAACTGGGGGGACAGGGAGGAATATGGAGCCTCTGGCCCTGGTGACACAACTGGGGATACAGGGAGGAATATGGAGCCTCTTCCCCTTCTCCCCATTGCAATCTGTTAGACCTGTGGCACACGAGTTCCTGCCAGGCATCTCTGGTTTCACCTTGACTTAGCTTGTCCTTGTTTCTATAAAGCACAAGTTGCCCAAGGGAGCTGTGGCTGCCCCATGCCTGGAAGTGTCCAAGGCCAGGGTGGAAAGGGCTTGGAACAACCTGGGAGAGCAGCAGGTGTCCCTGCCGACAGCAAGGGGTGGAATTAGAGGAGCTTTAAGGTCCCTTCCAACCTAAGCCATTCTGGGACCTGTGTGCTCCACATCCAGCAGTGCTCCTGGCTCCTCCTGGAAACTGCTTTCTTGTTCCCTCAAGGCAAAAGCTGCACAAAATGCTGATGGCTCCCACCACCCTCTGTGTTCTGTGTTGCCCTGAATCTGTGAGCTCTCTGATGTATTTTGTGGTTTGGGTGCCAGGGGTGAGGCTCGGATGCTAATGCACCATCTCATGGCTAAAGCTGGTGGCTGGAGTGGCTCTTGGTGCCTCAGCTGGAGGCAGGTGGCTCTGACAGGCTGGCTGGGCTGCTCTGAGGGCAGTGACATTGCCCAGCTCTCACAGACACAGGGAAGGGTAAAACTGGTACCTCTGTGAGATCTGAGAGGTGTCAAACACTGCACCGACCCGGGCAGTGGGCTCCAGGTTACCAAGGGGTCCACACAAGTTCCAGCTCCAGCCCTGCTCTGTCATACCAGCAAAACTGGCACTTCAAACACTCAGGGGAAAGCTGCGTGCTTGGTTTCCAGGTGTCTGGGTGGAGGGAAGTGATTAATCTGAGCCTGCAGTGGCAGCCCGTTGTTCCATGGAACAAAGCGCTGTCACAGCCTGCTGAGTTTCCCCTCGCTCTGCCTGGTGTCTGCGTGTGTGAGGCAGTGGGCTCTGCCCTGCTGCTCAGGCTGTCTCCAGCAGCCTGATGTATTAATTTCTGACCAAAATGGCAGGTGGAAATGGTCAAGGCTGCATTTCCTGTTGTATGGGATAAGATCTTCTCAGAGACACCAGATTTGTGGCCGCTTTTGCAAGGCAGCGGCCTCAGCAGGCCATCGTGCTGGCTTGTTTCCAGATGTGACAGATATATCCAGTGTCGTTCCTCCACCCCAATTCCTGCCCTCTCCTTGTGGGACCAAGCATTTTTATGGGCAAATTGTGGTGATGTTACTATAAATGATAGGGGTTTTGTTAGAGTCCCCTTGTTCTGTTTGCAGTCTCATCTGCACTCTGCCCAGGCTCCCCGGGGAATGGGCACAGCCCCGAGGCTGCCAGAGCTCCAGGAGCATTTGGACAACGCTCTCAGGCACAGGGTGGGATTTTGGGATGTCTGTGCAAGGCCAGAAGTTGGACTCAAGGATTCTTATGGGTCCCATCTAGCCCAGGGTAGTCCATGATTCTGTGATTCCCACTTCCTTTTTCATGCCTAGGCAGTTCCCAAGCTGTTTCATGTCAGATTATTCAGGGACAGAAAAGTCAGATGATTCAGGGCCTTGGCGAGACTGGACACATGGACTGTCCTGAGCTTCCTGTACCTCCTCCCTCACTCATTCCATCAGATCTCTGAGATTTAGCTTCTATTGTGGCTGAATTTAGTGTTTTAAAACTGCAATTTAATATTAAAAGCCAGCAATCTGGACACAAAAATAGGAAAGAAAAAATGCAATGAGAATGGTGCTTCTGAAACTGATGGTAACAAATAGTGTGTGTTATGTAGGAGCTGGTGGCAGTGAAATAAAATTCTATGCTTTACCAGAAGAAAAATGCTTTAACTCCCTGTGAGTGCTGCAGCTTTATCCTTAAAATGAAAGAGATGAGAGCTTTGCAGCCCTAAGGGTCTGTCCCAGGACTCCTTGTCTTTCATCAGTCCATGGAGCCACTCTGCCCCAGTTGCTTGTGCTCCCTTAGTGACTTGAGCATCACTGCTTCCAGCTGCAGATGGGAGCACCTCTACCAAAGTGAGAAAAATCCAGAGATTTACCTGTCTTTTCTGGTATCATTCGCTGAAGGTGCTTTGACACTGTCACTCCTCTGATCTGGGTGCCATTTGTACTGAGAGTGGCTCCCCTGGGCCTCACCCACTTTGTGTCACTTCACAAGCCGACGTGTGGGCACTGCCTCAGCACACACTTTCCATCCTTCTCAAGCCTCTGCTGGGGCTCTCAGATGGTTCTGGCTCTGTTCCTGCTCTGAGCAAAGCCACTCAGGAAAGAATTAATGGTGCCAGCCTTGCTTTGTGGTAGCAAACGTGACCCCTGGAGACCTTCATGTGCTCTCTAGTAGTGAGCTGGCTGTAGCACGTCTGCTGTAATTTGTTCCACTCTTTTATCACAGAAGCTGAAGAGACAGTCAACAAAGTACAGAGCGGATAAAATCTACCCTACAGCAGCATCTGAGCAGCCAGAGAACGTCAAGAAAAACAGATACAAGGACATCTTACCTTGTAGGTTGGAAATGGCACATGTTCCTACTCAGCCTTTTGTTTTTCTTGCTTTTCTTGTTCTCATTCTCTGCTGCCTGCCTGCACAGTGGTTGTATGTGAGCATCTCACTGCTGTCTGTTGGCTTTGAGTCCTGCTGCTCAGATTTAGGGCTTTGGCTGCTGCAGTGCCTGCTCTGGAGGACTTGGGCACATATCTGCACTGTCAGGCGCATGGTGGGATTTGGGGGATGTCCTGTGCAGGGATAGGAATTGGACCTGATCATCCTTGTTGGTCCTTTCCAACTCAGGATTTTCTGTGGTTCTGTGCTATTTCCATAGACAGAAGAGCTATTCACTAGGAAACACATCCTCCTGTGATAATCCTTGCAAGCTTTCTGGTTAGCTCTGTGACCACTTGCACCCAAAGGCCTTTGGACAGCAATGATGTGCAAAGCAGGCAACAGGCAAACCCTGCTGTGGCTTGGCTTGGTGCAGTGACTCCAAAGGACTCTGTCCCAGCATCAGAGCAGACTGACTCTTTTATCCACTCCAACTTGGAAAAGAAAGTAAATCACAGAATCATTAAGGTTGGAAAAGACCTCCAGGATGGAGTCCAGCTTTCAAACCTTTGTATCAGACCCCACAGAGCTGGTTTGAGTCTGCAGTGCTGTTAGGTGCTTTTGGGCTTGGCTTGCTGCATGGTCAGAGGGGATCAGCATTGCACTGGGGTAGTGGCAGCACCTGCAGCTCTCCCCTAAAACCTCCCCCACCCTCCAAAAGGATCTTGTCCATCCCCTGTGCGGGTAGCAGCAGGGCTGTGGGAGGTGTGGGAGGGACACCAGCTGCTTGCACAGCCACCCACCCACCCTGGATGGGCTCTCTGACTTGAGTGCTCCCCCAGAGCCCCTGGTGCTGCCCTCCAAGGGCTCAGTGACCTTGAAGGACAGACTCTGACTGCTTCCCCCACTTTTGCAGTTGACCACAGCAGAGTGGAGCTGTCCCTGATTACATCAGACGCAGATTCTCATTACATCAATGCCAACTTCATCAAGGTTTGCCTTTTGTTGTGGTGTTTTGTCCTTGCAAAGTTGTTGGTGGTGCCAGCTCGGTGGGTTGTGCCAGGAGGAGCTGGCTAGGGGCTCTGCAGCAGTTTCTGGGCTGTGCTCAAGGATAAGTGGTATAAGAAGATGAGCGAGCCCTCCAGAAACCTCCTGTGCAGCACAGAGGCACCAGGCTACAGGGCAAGGGACACGCTCATGCTGGGGGTGGAACAGTCTGTGGTTCTCAGCCCCAACTTCCTCGTCGCCGTTGCTGCCTTTGGTGGGTGACAGTGGTGCAAAAATGCCTGTGGCCAGAGTCATCTGGGCTGAAACCAGTGCAGAGGCAGGAAGCCTTGCAGTGCTGCATGGCTGGGACCCACTGCTGGGGCGAGCAACAGGGCAGATCAGTGTGGGACAGTGCTCCACCTGCAGCTCCACGAGCCCTGGGGCTGTCCTGGGCCTTCAGCCCTGCCCTGACTGACAGATAGATAGATGATAGGTAGATAGATAGATAGATAGATTAGATAGATAGATAGATAGATAGATAGATAGATAGATAGATAGATAGATAGTTCCCTTCATTCTCCATGAGAGTGACCAGTGGCCCAGGGCTCTGTGTAGCCTGTCTGCAGAAGATCAGACCTTCCCAACAGGATCACAGTTCATTCTTTGGCCATCAGCAGCACAGCTGTGGCCACATCACCTCCAAGCTCCCAGAGGTGCTGGAAGAACTGGTGCTGGTCTCTGGGAGCAGATTTCAGCTCAATCCCAGCTCCCCAGCCTTTGGTTTGCACACCACTGCTTGAGTTAATGTATGTGCCCAAAATTCAACTATATGAAAGTCCTTAACGGCCTTGCTGATAGAAGCAAATTCAGAGAGGGGAATGACTTTATTTCTGCAGATGTCCCCATGTCTGGTTTGAATGTTCCAGGGTGTCTACGGGCCAAGAGCATATATTGCAACCCAGGGTCCTCTGCCCACTACTGTCACTGACTTTTGGAGGATGATTTGGGAGTATGAAGTCCTGGTAAGGTGCAGGTTTATATTTCAATATAAAGTTTATATTTTTAAGAAAAGTTGTCCTTACAGCCAGAAGTCCTTTCTGAGGCAGTGGGACTCGTGCCAGGGCAGGGTCTGCTGGTGGCTGTCCCTGCCTCTGGGCTCTGGCTGGGGTCCTTGTGCCAGGCTGTGGGTGATGTCCCAGTGTGACTTGTCTGGCACTTGGGGCTTGGGGGAAGGCAGCCCATGGTGTTTCCTTATCACTGATAAGTACCCACAAGAGATGAGTCTAATTTTGCTGCCTGGATAAGAAACTCATGTTCAGACTTTTCTAATGAGCCTTCTTCCTGCAGGTCGTGGTCATGGCTTGTATGGAGTTTGAAATGGGGAAGGTGAGTAGTTGTCACAGATGAGGGGTGGGAGATGCAGATTTTTATTAAATCCCATTACTGAAGTGAGTTTCTGTTTGATATAAACTGGTTTTTGGTCCCGTGGGAGATGTCCCTGCCCATGGCAGAGGGTGAAAGGAGATGATCTTTAAGGTCCCTTCCAACCAAACCATGGTCTCTGACTCCATGAACTTCTTTAGCCATTTCCAGTAGTGTAGGGAATCTCCCTGGAAGGAGAAAACCCACAGAGGCAGCTCCAAGGAAGGGGAGGATGGGGCTGGACAGCAGCAAAAGTTGAGCCTCTTCCCAGAGTGAATTTTGTCCTGAAAATTGAAAAAGGAGACAGCACAGCTGGGCCAGTGGGGAATAACCAAACACATCCTTCTTGTCCCAACAGAAGAAATGTGAGCGGTACTGGGCGGAGGTGGAGAGCTCCCCCCTGCACTGTGGCCCTTTCTCCATCACCTGTGTGAGTGCAGCCACCCCAGCACCCTGTCCCACCCCGGGCCACCACAGAAAATCTGACTCTGACTCCTTCTTCTGCAGGAGGCTGAGGAGAAGAGGAATGAGTATGTGATTAGAACTTTAAAGGTGACCCTGAATGAGGTAAGGAGGAAAGGTCAAGGCAGAAAATGTACCTGGGGTGGCTTTTTTATATAAATAATATATTAAAATACGGTACATTTTGTGCAGAAAATTTTACATTGCTCAGGCTGCTGAATTAGATTTGACAGCAGTTGAGGGAACAAAGGAAGTAAAAAATTCATTAACTCAGACCTCAGTTTCTGAAGCTGTTTGTCAGTCATGGCAAATCAGGCTTCGTATAAGTGAGGCCAAGGATGTCATCAAACAGCTCCTGCAGCAAAACCAACTGCAAACTGCTGCTCTGCCCTTTGCCTGCTGATGCAGCTGGGATCTGGGGATGGAGCAGAAATGCAGCTCCCCTTGCCACGCCAACATGCCAGACCCTGCCACTGCTGTTCTCCCGCAGGCAAGCCGCACCATCTACCACTTCCACTACAAGAACTGGCCAGACCACCACGTCCCCTCCTCCATCGAGCCCATCCTGGAGCTGGTCAGGGACATCCGCTGCTACCAGCCCGATGACAGGGTCCCTGTCTGCATCCACTGCAGGTGGGTGACCTGGCTGCCACAGGCAAGGGCTGCTGGCCCCCAGAGCCCCCTGCTCCCATGGCCCGAGGGGTCACAGGGCAGGGAAGCTGGCCAAGCCCATAGCCAAGCTCCTCTTGTAGGGAGCCTTGAGGCAAAGGGTTCCTCTGAGGACAGCCAGCATGGCCAGGGGACAGGGAAGGAGGCAGCCAGCAATAGAATCACAGAGCCATGGAATTGTTTAGGTTCCAAAAGTCCCTTAAGATGCTCAAGTCCAACCATTTGCCCAGAACTGCCAAGACCACTGCTAAGCCATGTCCTCAAGTGCCACATCTACACATCTGTTCAATGGTGACTTCACCACTGCCCTCGGCAGCCTGTGCCAGTGCTTGACAATGCTTTTGGTCGAGAAATTTTCCCTAACATGCAATCTAAACCTCCCCTGGGGCAACCTGAGGCTGTTTCCTCTTGTCCTGTCCCTTGTTAGCTGGGAGAAGAGACAAACACCCAGCTGGCTACACCCTCCTGTCAGGGAGTGAGAATGTCTGGCTCGGAGACCACCACTGGCCATGTCCAGGTGTGGCTGGTCACCACAGGAGGGCTGAGTGCTGTTCCCAGGGGATGAGCTGCGCCTCCCAACCCCGTGCAGCACAGCCCTGCGTGGGCTGAAGCTGCAGCATCCTGCAGGGTCACAGGTGGCTGTGGGTCCTCCCCAAACACCCCTGTCAGAAGCACAGCGTGCCCAGCCTGTGCCCTGTGGCTGTCATTGCAGTGCTGGCTGCGGCAGAACCGGCGTCATCTGCGCCATCGACTACACCCAGAAGCTGCTGAAGGACGGGGTGAGTGGCAGCCCCCGCTTCCTTCCATGGCTCCTGCCCCCTCTGTGCCTCGCCAGCCCTCCCTCTGCCTTTCACCCCCTCTGACTGTGCTGGGGGGGATTTCAGGGGGATGGCAGCTCCCCACGGCCTCACTGGAGAGCCGAAGTGCTGATTCCCCACTCCCAGTTTGTGCCATTCCCCTCTCTCCAGGCACTGACAGCATCATCAGTGGGGCAGAATCCCCCTTCCCCTGCTCCCTCTGGCCCTGTGCTGACCTTCACCCTTCAATACATCTTTACTGTCTTCGTTTGTCTCTCCACACTCACACATCAGATATTCAGTGTTTCCAAACACTGAATTTGCTTTACTCTGACTCTCCAATAATGGCACAGGCAGTGATCCCTGGCCTCAGGGCGGGTGCTGGGACTCAGAGGAGAGCCTGCTGTGTTCTTCATCTCCCTGAGCCCATCCAGCTGGGAAATCAGTGTCATGTCCTTCGTGCTGCCCACAGCTGTTATAAAAAGGGTATGTTCTGTGGAGTGTGAGACAGCAGGGAGGAGGATGGTTTGTAATAAATAAAATAGAACTTTAAGTAGGCCCTTTGTTAAAAATTATTGCAGCAGCAGGCCTGGATTTCAGACAGTGCTCTGAACTGCCTCATGACTTGGAGGATTCGTGGAATTAGACCTGTCTGTAATTTTTTATCAGAGAAATCATAGAAATCATTGAAAGATTTCATTTAAAGATTTCATTTAAAGATTTCATTTAAAGATTCATTGAAAGATTTGGGTCAGAAGGATCTTAAAAATCCTCTTTTTCCAGCTCTCTTCCATGGGTAAGGACAGCTTCCACTGTGCCAGGCTGCTCCATGCCCCATCCAGCCTGGTCTTGGGCACTTCCAGGGATCCAGGGGCAGCCACAGCTGTGCCAGGGCCTCCCCACCCTCACAGGGAAGAATTCCTTCCCAATATTAAACCTGAATTTCTCCTCTTTCAGTTTAAAACCATTTTGCCCTTTTCTCTTTCTCGCCAGATTGTTCCAGTGAACTTCAGTGTTTTCAGCCTGATCCAGGAAATGCGCACACAAAGACCCTGCATAGTGCAGACCAAGGTGTGTCTGGGGAATGCCACCAGCAGCTGCTCCGTGCTGGCACCTCGCCTTTCCCCCAGGAGGGTTCACAGCAGGGAAACCCAGAGCAGTGGTGCTGGTGGGAGCTGGGAGATGTTGAGCAAAGTCCCTTTTCTGAACAGAACAATGATCTGGCAGAAGTTCATTTGGTAGCTGAGCGTTTCCTTGTGGACTGCTGGGCCAGTGCTCACAGTGGGATTTATCAAATGCTTACACTGTGAGACCACGACTGGCCAGGCAATAAAGTGGGAACTTTACTCAGCTGCAACAGACTGAAGAGGAAGCTCAATGCAGAACAGTGTTTTTTTGCACACCTCAAAAGCCCCTAAAATGCTTCAGTGTGAACCCTGGGAGACTTGTGGCTTCTGCCTCTTCTCAAAATTCACACCCTGCCAACAGACAGGAAAGGCAGCTTCTCTCAGGGTGATGCTTGCTTGGGGAGAGGTGGCCATTTACAGGTCCCAGCGGTGCTGGCTGTGACATTTTGTGCCTGTCTGGAATGCAGGAGCAGTATGAGCTGGTTTACGATGTGGTGATTGAGCTCTTCAAAAGGCAGATTCAAGCACTCGATGGCCAGAAAGATTCTGCTGCTTCACAGGTAAAAGTCCCAGGACACACACGCTGCCTCTTGGGCATTCCAGCTCTAACCTCAATTCCTGCTGCAGATCTGGGGTGAACTCCCACATTTTCTGCTCCCCTTGATACCCAAACCGAGTCTCTTTTGACATTAACCCGTGAGAATCCAACTCTTCCCCTCAGTGTGCAATGCTTCTCACAAACAAGACCTAGATTTTATTCAGTCTCAAAGCCATTTTCTATTTTCTATATATTTTTATAATTGTTTAATGTTATGAGTGGATGGAACACCACAAATTTTCTACAGGACTGACTGATTTCCATGGGGATGTGCCAGTGAAACTTGGGGGAATTTCAGACCAGGCTGGGAAGGTCCAGGTTGGGAAGCTTGGGATCACAAGGCAGTGAGGCTGAAAGTGTTAGCTCATGTGTGCTAGTGAGGGAATCAGCACTACAGCCTGTCTGTGGGAGGGCATGGGGGAAATATCTTGTGAAAAAACATGGCAAAGTCTCACAAATCTGTTACACCTCTGAGGAAAAGAAATGTGGTCTTGGTGTGAAGTTGCATATTAACAGGAATAGCCAAAACATCTCTGGTTGAGGTTTTCTTTGCTCTTGCTGTTCTGTGACTGCTGACATGAGCTCCACTGGATCAAATCCAGGAAAGTAAATGCATCACAACAAAGCCTGGAAGGTCACAGTGAGCTCATTTTGTCAGAAACTTTCATCTAAAAAATTGGAAAGGGGATCCTGCAATGGGACTCGTGCCTCAGTTTTGCCATATGATTTGCAGTTCATTCTGAGTGAGAAAAGAACTGGGAAAAGCCTTTTTGGACTGGTTAAGGACAGCCTGTGAGCAAAGGTCACAAAGGGCTGGGTTGACACTAAATGCAGAGGACTTTTCAAGTCAGGATGTGGTTTTGTATCTCTTGCCCAAACCTCTCGCCCCCTTAAACCTCCCTGTCCTCTGAGGGCACTGTGCAGAGCATGGGGATGGCCATGAGCTGCTGTCATGCACAAAACCAGCACCCAGCTTGCCCAGTGTGGGCTCCTGAAGGCAGAGTGTCTGCACAGGCTGCCTGCCAGCTGTTTGGCACAGCTGGATGGTTGTAGGGCTCGCTGTACCCTCCTTTCAGAAAGGTGCTGGCAGAGTTGCCCTTCAGGAAGTTCTGTCTGCAGTTTTCAGCTCCACCTTGGTGTCATTTCCCAAGTGCTTTAGAAATTAGAAGGATTTGGCAAAAATCCCAGCTCCTGAAGCAGCACATTGGTGTTCTTTACATTCTGCCTCCTCACTCTTGTTTGCAAACATTTCCTTTCCCCAGGAAGGAGCAGGGCATCCTGTAGCCAAGCCAGTCCCGACTCCAGTGGAAGACATTTATGGCCTGAGTTTACTCACCTGGTAAGGCACAAGTATCCCTGGTTGGTGTTTGTAGTCACCCACACAATTTCAGAGAGATTCACTTGCTGATGTGTGCTCTGAAACACTTTATCTCGCAGGATCTGCTGCCTCCCTTGAGTCCCACTTTGACTCTCATGTTTGTTCCTAACATAATTCATAGAATCATAAAGGTTGAAAAAGTTTCTAAGACCACTGAGCACAACCATTAACCTGTGACTGCCGGGTCCAACACTGAACCGTGTGCCCAAGTGCCACATCTGCATGTTTTATGAGCAATTCCATGGATGGTGTTTCCATCTTCCCTGGGCAGCCTGTTGCAATGCCTCATCACCCCTTGAGTGAAGAAACTTTTTCTGATTTCCTAATAATTCCTGCTTTTCTCACTGATGTGTCTCAGCCTCTTCCCTGTGTGCCATTATCTGTCCCCTTCTTCTGTCCTGGTTTCACATGTAAACTGGAAACAGTATAAAACAGTACAAAAGAGTATAAAAAGGTCTCATGAACACAGAGGCTGGATCATCCCAGCCCTCTGCCTGGCATGGAATGCCCCCACACTGCTCCTGTCTTCCATCTGCATGTTCCACTCCAGTGCCCCTTGCTGCAGGAATAGCAATCCTGAGGATGCAGCTTCCCAATACCAGCAGCTTCCAAGGGTGGTGGGATCTCTCTGTGGACATGTTTGGGATTACAGTGTCTGCTTTCTGTAAATAATTTTGCCTTTTGGTTCAGCTTGATGACATAAAGAGGCCTCCTCTGTTCATCATTTAACAGTGTTGAAATGGAGCACAGTCCTTCCCTGTGCTCCTTGCTCGAGGCTGGGCTGGGCTCTGCATTCCTGAAGGAATTGCTCCTGGGAGCAGTGCTGTGGGCTGTTAGTGGGCTAAAATTACCTGAGCCCTCCATGGCTTTGACTCCACACCACTTTATTGTGCTTTTACTGCAGCTCAGAGCGAGAGGAGCAGGCTCCACACCAACATCTCCCTCAGCAGCAGGATGAGCACCAACATCTCTCTCCGGTGGCACAGGGCAAAGCATCCCTGCCCCCTCTGGGTGCCCCGGGTGCACAGCCCAGCTCTGCCTGGGGCATGCCCCCCATCAGACAGGCCATCTCCTTCGGTGCTCTGAACTTCTCCAGCTGCAGGAAGGCAGCTGCTGGCGAGCCCTGGGCTGCTGGGGATGTCCCTCAGAAACGCTGCAGCTGGGAGCTGGAGCTGGAGCCAGACCCAAAGGGAGCAGGCAGGAGGGTGCCTGGTGCCAGAGCTCCTCTGGCATGGACTGTATCGACCCCTCTAGCACTGGAGCAGCGGCGAGAAGCCTGGGAATGGGATGCAGGGGATGCCAAGCCTGTGTGGAGTCCCCAGTGGCCAAAAGCCTGTCACTCGAGCTTCCAGGATGGATTTTCACCTGTGGACCTGAACCCCTCCAGACGAGCAGCGGGTGGCCCCCCAGGCCACAGGAAGCAGAGGCAATGCCCTCACCCTTCCCTGTGCTCAGCAGAAGACCCCTACTTCTCATCACTCTCTCCAGATGACTCTGTGTCCCCCGTGTTTCCCTTTCTGGAGGGGCAGGATGAGCTCCTCCCTTCGTGCTCTGCCAGTGCCCCGCTAGAGCCCACCACAGCCAGCTCCCCATCATCCCACCACGTCCCCCTGAACCAGGAGAGCATCTTCTCCTCGGGTAAGTGCTGCTGGGACAAGGGGACACATGGGACCAGCTCACTCTGGACTGGGGTGTGCTGGAGGGAGTGGTCAGTGCGGTCATCTGGTGTCCAGGAAGGTCTGTAGCTGCTCCTCAGGACTGGGCTCTCATGGGAGCTGAGGGAGCAACTGGTTTCATCCTCACACTTTTCATCCTGCCTGAATTTTTTTCCCCACAAACATTTTTAGAGCAGTGTCACTTTGGTGTTTGACTTACACAGCTGCCCTGAACCACTGTGTGACCTCAGAACAGCTCTCACAGGGAGGCAGGGATGGTGCTGACCAATTCTTGCACCGAGGTGCTCCAAAAAGCATTCAGAAAGCTCCCAGAAATGCTTTTCTCTGAGGATTTAGTTTTCAGGTCAAACCCCAATCTTTGCTGTAGAGTGTCATGTGGGGGACACTGAAATCTCACTAAGATTGAGAGATCCAGGACTTCAGGGGCCCTGAACAACCTGGGTGACACCCCTGCCCATGGTGGGGGTGTTGGATCTAAATGGCTTTTAAGGTCTCTTCCAACCCAACCCATTCCATGATTCCATGTTTCAACACAAGTGTTTTGCCCAGATCTGCAGCCTGAAATCCATCACCTGTCATATGAGGAAGGTGGAATTATTCCTTGTTCTGGCTAGTCCGGTCCAGTCGGACATTTCCTATTGTCCACAGCTTTGGTACTTGCTCCACTTCGTCCTGCCCAGGCCCCTCAGCATTCAATGGAACAAAGACATGCTTGTTATCCGGTGTCCTTGGGAAGTCCTGGGAGGTGCAACCCAAGCCAAGCAGCACCAGAACCACCTGCTGCATGCCTGGCTCTGTGCTGGGTTATGCTCATTTTCCTCGTGCAATTGGTGCTGGGACTTATTTGGATGTTTAACCACAGTTTAGAAGTGTTTAACCTTAATCTCTGGTGTGTGGCAGGGCAGGAGCAGCCCCCTCCCCTACACAGGTCTGTGGTGCCCTCGTGTCCTGCCATGCCAGTAACCTGTCTGTGTCTCTCCAATCAGCCCCCCTGCCACAGCCTGATGATGATGATGATGCTCCACCCCTGCCCCAGCGCACCCCGGAGTCCTTCATTGTGGCCAGTGAGCCAGGTGAGAGATTAACAACATTAAATGTGGGTCTGAGCAGCACTGAGGGCTCACCCAACACCGGGGTGGTTCTGTAGCATCTGGCAGTGCCTGGGATGAGGAATGATCTCTCTGGTGTTCAATTGCTTCTAGGGCAGTTTCCTCAGGCCACTCCGGATTTCCAGATTCCAGACAGAAATCCAAGTATTGGAACCTCCTGGGAGTGGAGTGGTGAGTCTCACTCAAAGGGGTTTCATGACCCTGTGAGACTGAGACCATGTAAGGTGAGAGTGGCCTTTCACCTCTTTTCCAGCACTATTCCTATGCCAATCTCCTTACCATATTTCCTTCTCTAAGAAAGACTCTAGTTCTTGGAACTTTATATTTGCCATAAATTATTTCATAGAATAACAGAATTATGGAATATCTTAAGAAAATCCCATTCCACCCCCCAGCCATGGGCAGGGACACCTTCCACTAGACCAGGTTGCTCCAAGTCCTGTCCAACCTGGCTTTGAACACTTTCAGGGATTTCAGGGCTCAGGATTGGAAAGAAGATGGGTTCTTATCAACACCTACTTTAATCCAAACATTACTTTTTGGGATTCTAAGACCAATACAGGGTAATAAACATATTGTCCCTTACTTAGAGAAGGATAATGAACACAGGACATTAGTGTTCTGCTGAGCTTGACACAGCCCTGTGGAACCAACAGGAGCTGAACAAAATTTAGGCATCTGTTGATCATCCCATAGCTGAGTGGCAGCTCTGTGAAGTGGAAGAATGAGGCACAAGTCTGTCTTCCTCTACACGAGTGTGGAGGTGTATGTGGGAGGGTGTTTGCACATCACATCCTTTCCTCATCTTCTCTGGCTTCCTTGTGTGCAAGAAAACAACATTTGGATGTGGGACTTTTAAATACCTGCCTTGTTTTTTGTTTCCAGAGCGTGAAGCTTTGGAGCCCACAAACAGGTAAAAGTTTAACGCTGGGATAATCTTGGGAATTAAGACCTGCTTTTTTTTCTGAAACTGCTTTACTTAGTAAAAGTGTTTAGGATCTGTGCTCACTGCAACGGAAATTGTTGCTAAATAGTTCTGCAACTAAATAGCTCCAACCAGAACTAAACAGTTCTGCAACAAAGTGAACTGGTAGTTTTGTGTTTCCTAATCAGCTCCTGCCTCATCCTGTTCATGAGGGTGTTCCTTGCAGCCTCCTCTTTGTCTGCATGTTATGCGTTTCCTTTGAGACAACTGAGATTACCTGGTTGCTTCTAATATATATATATATATATATATATATATTAAAGCTAGGTAACCAACTCTTTTATCTTTGCTTTCTCAGAGACAACCCAGGATTGCTCCAATTCTCCTCCTCCGCTTCCTGAAAGAACCCCGGAGTCGTTCGTTCTCGCTGAGGCAGCAAGTAAGTGCTGAGCTCTTTTCTCAGGATGGAACTGAGGTTTTGCACTCACACCTAAACCTGTAGGTTTCTGAGAGTGTGGCCCACTTGTTCAAAGCTTCACCAGGTACTGCTTCAGCACTTCCCTGCAGGAGAGTTCAGCAAATGCAATGAAAATAAACACAAGTAGGGAACCTGCAGAACATTTCTAGAAGTGCTGCATTAGTGGAGATGAAAAGCAGCAATAAAGCACTTGGAAAAAATCAGGAGGATTTGTGAATGACCACTGAAAATGTATGTATCATGTATGTTCCCAGGTCTCCAGCCTGCTGCAAGAAATTCCTTGAGTCCTGCAGGTTTGGAGAACAAGGGCTCAGGAACATCATCCAAAGAACTCATTAAATGCTTCAGGAGGAGCAAGGTAAAAGAAACAAAAGGTGTGGAAAAAAAGGGAGAGAGAAGAGCTGTGGCACAGCTGGTGCTGCTCTCTCACTGGTCACTGGGGGAACAGGGCCTGCTTTGAGAGAGCTTGTGTTTAGGGCAAGAAAACAAGAGTAATACAAATATTCTGGTGTAGAACTGCAAACACCCACCCTGTGTGCACTGGGAACAGGGAAACCCAGCCCTGCCCGTGCCAGCGCCTGTGCCTTGGCACTCCATCCACCTGGAGTGCCAGCTCCTCTGGGAAGAAGTTGCTCCAGCGGGGTCTGAGTCTGTCCTGCAAGGACAGAACCATGGCCAGCCCCCTCTTGTTGAGCCTCCTGTTAATTATCCCCACGAGATTGTACTTTGGGGTGCAATGGTGGAACAGAAAAGTGCTTGAGGAAAACAGCAAGTAAGTACAAACTGGAGGCATTTGGGATGACAAGGAAAAAGCCAAAGAGCGTGGCAAAAAATTTGCTTTTTATGAGATGTGATACTTGTACATTTACCAGTGAATTCCCTCAGTAGCTGATCTATTTATGCATGTACATTTATCAGTGTTTTTACACATGTGCATTACCAGCAAATTCCCTTTACCACAGTAGCTGATCCACTGCTTCACACATTTTTTTCCAACTAGCCTTTTTCTATTTTTTTTTTACAGAGCTTGAAAATATTGAAAAATGTGAAAAAAAGTAAGTTTTTCAGGCTAATATCTTCGCAATGGCTTTAAACAAGTATTTAAATGTGTGGGGCCAGTGACCAGCTGCTCCAGCCTCATATTTTATTTCTAGGCATCTGCAGTCCACTAACAAAATCATCAGAACCTGCCCCAACAAACTCTTCGAGGTCTTTCCTTAACTTTGGTATGTTTTGCTCTCATGTTTTGGTAGGAAGAACCTGGTTCTTGCAAGTCTAAATGCCAGGCAGAACACTTATAAACGACAAATATTTCAAATAATGCTCATTGGGTTTTAAAGATTTTGGTTTTACACATTTACAACTTCATTTGCAACTACGGGATGTTGCTTTTCTGTCATATCTTAAAGCTTGGGAAAGATCTGAAATTGCAAGTATTTTCAATTCCTTCAATTCCTGTGTTATTTTAAGGGATTATATAATCAACATCTGCAACATACAGAATTTGTTGCATTAAAAAATATATCATTTCTTCCTAGGCTTTGCAAATCGATTTTCAAAACCTAAAGGACCAAGAAATCCACCCCCAGCATGGAATATTTAGATGTATTTTACAGACTTGGCATTGCAGATTTGTGAAGTCATCCTGAAATACTTGGAATGCCCATCCCAGTGAAGCTTCCACCAAAATAAACACATCCAAAGCTGTTACACGGTATTGGCAGCTCAGGCACTACTTGCACATTCACTGAATTTAAAACTGGAGTTTTAAAGTCAAGAATGTAAAAGTACCAGCAGCTTTCAGTTCATTCGCAATGGGATGGAAGGTAAACCTTGGAATACAAGTTTTATCCTAAGGAAGAACATATTTTTGTCGTGTTTTGGAATGTAATCACTTGAAAAGGACGGATTTGAGCATAAACTGATGATGGGACCCAGTGAAGGCTCTGGAATGAACTGGAAACAAACGGAGCAGAGTGAGGTGACCAAGACCCTCTCTCACATTTGTAGGTCTATTCTAATCAAAGACACTGAAATGTTTACATTACTTGGACTAAGAGGGAATTAGCACCCCAAATTTTAGAAATAATATAAGCTTTTTTTTCCCCCCCATCTGGGCGAACCAGAGCATTTGTCTGGATTTCTGGGCAATAGGATTTGGGACAGTGATTGATCCCATGGAAATGAAACCGGTGCAACTGCACAAGTGGCTGACCCAGCTGCTCTTCTATCTGGTGGAAAAAAATCCCAAAACACCATGACAGCAAGAAAATATTATTGTATTTTAAAGCAATGCTGTTTTCAAGGATTGGTGATTCTCCAGCACAGAATTTCAGGTGGGAACAGGGAAGACAAGATTCCTCACCAGATTCCACCGATGTTTCTATCAGTGGGGAGGGATAAAGATGCTGAACATTGTTTTATATTATTTTCCTGTAAAGACAGGAAAAAAAACACCAAACACCAAAAAAACCCCACCAACCAAGGTGGTATCTGAGGAATTTGGTCAAGAAGAATCTGCTGACCACTGCTGGAATGGAAAACTCAGTTGGTTTAAAGTTGGGGGAATAGCCAATATTGCCTTTTTTATTACTGTGGTCACAGAGTTTCTTAACAGCAGAAAAGAGTGAAAACCTTTACCCAAATTATATTCCTGTTTCTCCCAGGCTGGATAGGGTTTGGAGCAACCTGCTGTCGTGGAAGGTGCCCCAGCCCATGGTACTGGGTGAAACGAGATTTTTAAGTTCCCTCCTAACCCTTCGCATTCTATGATTCAATGATTTCATTCCATCCCACAGCCACGGGCAGGGATGGCCTCCTTAAGCTCGCTCCAACAGCTCCGCATCATCTCCCTCATGGGGAAAACCTCCGCAGCACCCCGCGGCCGGTGTTTAATGGACGAAGGACTTTGGGAAAAGCTCCAAACGCCATTGAAATAAAAGTTTTTGATCCCTCCTCCGCTCTCCCTCAGCGCTTTCCCGCCCTCCTCCCGCCGCCCACGTGACCCGCGCCGCCTCCCCCGAACTACAAGTCCCAGGGTGCCCCGCGGGCGGCGCGTGCGCGGCGGCGCCCGGCGCTCGGGCCATTTAAATGTGTGTGAGGGAGCCCCTGAAATGGCCGCGCAGGTCGCCGCGGTGCCGCGGGCCCCGGAGGAGCCGCCGCCGCCCTCAGCGGACCGGCCCGCCCGGCCCCGCGGACCCCGCCGCCGGCGGGCGGCACCCGGTGAACCGCCGGCCGCTAAGCGAGCCCGGCCGAGCCAGGCGCTGCTGGCGGGGCCCGGCCCGGCGGAGCCGCTGCCCCCACCCGCCCTCCCCGCCGCCGCGGGGCTGTTCACGTTCTCCCCGCTCAGCCTCCCGCCTCCCGGGGAGCGCCGACACCACCACCGGCACCACGCCGAGCCCGCCGGCCACAAGGCGAGGCGCGGCAGCCCCGCGGACGGCGCGGCGGGGCGGCCCAGCCAGCGAGGTGAGCGGCGGGGGAGCGCGGGGGTCGCGGTGCCCCGGCGGGCTCGGCCGGGCGGCGCCGCTGCGGCCCCGGCGCACCTGTGGAGGGCGGCGGGGCTGCCCCGGGCACGGAGCGCGGGGCGGCCGCGTTGTTCCTGCTGCTGTCAGAATCGGTCTCGTCACAGGTGCAGCGTGCGGGTGTTGAGGGTGTGAAGGGTTCTTCACGTTAAAGTGTGAGGAGGTGCTGGTTTGTTGGGGTTTGTTTTTAAATGTTTAATTGTTTGGTTTTAATAAGTGGCCTGAGAAGGGATCTCGTGATTCCATACGAATATTTCCAATGCGGTTGTCAGAGGATGGGGCCAGATTCTTTTTCAGGGCTGCCCAGCAACAGGACAAGGCAGAATAGCCAGAAACTAAAACACAAGAAGTTCCTCCTCAACACGAGGAAGAATTTCTTTCAATGAAGGGTGGCAGAGCAGTGGAACAGGTGCCCACCGAGGTCCTGGAGTCTCCCTGTCTGGAGATATTCCAAACTCAAACCTGTGTCACCTGCTCCAGGTGACCCTGCCTTGGCAGGGGTGTTTTGCTGGATGATCTGCAGAGGTCCCTTGCAGCCCGAATTATTCTGTGTTTTCTTTTATTGAAAGGCCAAAAAACTCTGGATTTTAGTATGTGCTGTGCATAGTTTTGTTTATTTTATTTTAACAGTACAGAGTGATTGTTTTGGTTCTGCTCAGAGATTTGTTGTAGTAAAAAGCTTCTTGGAGAGAGCAACATAGATAGAAAATAACAGCAAAAGTTCTGTAATTAAAAATATAATGTGGTGAATTATGCTTGAGGAGTGTATGGGCAGGTTTTGTGCCAAAGAAACCAAAGATGCACTTGCTTACAGAAGTCAAGTGTCTGGAGTAAAGTCTAGGTAGTACTGTCTTAAGAACAGGCAAAACTAGTACCAGGAGAGGTTTTTCTCCTCTGGTTAATACTTCCACACCACTGTGCTTGAATAGTGACTATAAAAACTTCTGATTGTAAACCTCTGAAATTTTATCAGTGTTCATAAAGCAAAAGTTTGGAGCGATGTAACTTTGTAGAGTGGAGTGTCACTGTGTCAGTTCTAACCCAGAATTAAATTAGGCCTCTTAATGAAGGCTTAAACAGCGTGAAAATGAGCATCAAAATTCCAGATTTGTAAAGGAAAGCTGCTTGTTCATCTGAAGCTCTTCACTGCCTGTCCTCAGCTGTAGGGGTAGTGCCTTTTGGGATGGGGCTGTATTTCTTTCCCTGACTATCTGTTTTTATTTTGCTGTATAATCTAATTAAATTATCTATTACATTGACTGTCCCATGCTTATCTGTGGCCCCAGGTGACAGTGAAAACCCCCATTGTTTTTACTGTTTAATAATGATTCTGTTTTTGTTGTGGGATGTCTGATCATTTTAGAGTAGCTGAGTTATTGGCACTGCTGTCACTCTGCCTCACTGTGGAGCCCTTAGTTTAGTGACCTGTCCACAGCCTCCTTGTGTTTGAGGTGCTGGAGGCCTTCTGTTTATTTAAAGGAATAATTAAAACTATATTTCCTTCAGGATTGCCAGGCATTATTATAATGTCACTGTTTAGCTTCACTGAATACAGCAGTTACTCACTGTAATAGTGAGACTCTGCTGTGTTCAATGGATCCAGCAGCAGCCAGGGCAGCTTTTATCCTGAAAACAGATACATGTTCACTGGAAGTTCCCAAATGCAAGGATTCTTCTGTCTGTTATTAGGACATGGTTTCATACAGGAAGATACTCTGAATTAAAATGTCTGAGGTTTTAAAACTATATGTAAAATCAGAAATGCTTACAATAAGAAATCTTTAACAACTAAATGTTCTTAGAAACGTACATAGGGAAGTATTCCCAGCAGTGCAGTGGTGGCATGAAATTATTATTTAGTTGCAGCTTGGGATCTCTGGTGCCACCAGGACAAATACTGGTGTGTGAATTGCGCGTTCACTCAGTGAGTAAAGCAATGTCTGTGCTCTAGAGCCCAGTGACTGAGCAAACCGTGTGCTCCTCGCATCCGAGCCTTGCAGCAAACCTCATTCCAAGAACCGTTTCAGTTGGCTTCCCAGAACAAGTGATACCGCCCTGCTTTTCCTGGTTTCTCTGAATTAGAAAGATCGGGGCCTTTGCTGCTTGCAAGGGCTGCAGCAGCACGCTGAAAACTTGTCTTTCAGGTCCTAAGACTATTGTATGAAGTGAGGATTAAGCAATCAGCTCTTTCTTTGCTCCATGAGTAACTCTGTTCCTTACTCCAGGCTGTTATGAAGGTCAGCCCTCTCCAGTAACGAGACCAAACCAGTAATGATCCAGTTAAACACTGGTTACACTGAAGAACCTGGAGCTGCCTCTGTTTATCACTGCACCCCTTTTCATAAAAGAGTGTAATGTGTTTTTTTTTCTTTAACTTTAGCACTCTAAGAGAATAAAGAGGGAATACCAGTGTGCAGCCAGAGAAAGGAAATTTCATTAGGACAAAGCCTTGTTCTGAGGGGAAATAGTAAAACTTTAGTTACTGCATCTTTAGTCAGGTGCTGCCTTCAGCAGCAGGTTGTTCTCATCGCCTTGGCTATCCTGCTAACACAGCTCCTGGGGATTTATGGGCACACTGTTGGATGGAATGGTTCTTTGATTCAGGCACGTTAAAATCTTGTATTGGCAATTGAGTTTGTAACAGCTGGGCCATCAAATTTTCTAATTACCTTTGTCCCTTGCTAAATGTTATTTGAATTAGTTTTTATTCTTGAAAGAAGAACAACTTAAGCTGTTCCATTTTGCCTGACAGAGCTACTACTTCACATTTTAGCTCTCATCCTTTTAGAGGTTGATTAACCTAAAAATAAAACCAAACAACTGAAACAGGCTCTTAATTTCTTTCTCTCCATTAACTGAATCGTTAACTACAGGACTGAATCCATTGATGTGATGATTTGGGTCCTTTAATTTTAAAAGATCAGCAATCTAAGCTTTACTTAAGTGTTTTTACTTCTAAATGTAAGTAAAGCTTGTAGCTCTTCTCTAAATGTAAGTAAAGCTTGTAGCTCTTCAGTGCTACTCTGTTTGCTTCTGTATCATGTATCCAAAATCAGGGAAGTGTTCAGTAATGAAAGTCTTAATGTTTAAATGTTACACATACTTGTTTATCCTCTTCCCTTGTATGGCACTGCCTTAAATGTCAGAAGTTATTAACGTACTTAATTATAGATGTCCCGAACTACAGACTCCTTTGAAAGGTATTCTAATAAATCTGTTTAAAATGGAAGTATTTCTAAAATATTAAGCTAGAATTTTGGAAGGTTTCCTTAATTCAAGGCTTTATTTGTATAATTATAGGTACTGACTTTTGACTTAATTATACAACCAAAAATGCAATGTTTTACAACTGGTCGGTCTCCCTGGGAATACATGGCTTCAGCAAGTGAGTGGCCTGAATTCTTTTGGGGTGAATATGCTGCAACTGCAGAACTCTAATCTTCTCTTTATTGTTGCTGCCAGAAACTCCAGATGAAAATGGCAAAAGCCAGCGAGCTGACAGTCTTATTATGAAGAAGATAAAGAAAAAAAAGAAAAAGAAACACCGGGAAGATGTGAGGGGAAAACGCCTGAAGATGTACAACAAAGAGGTGCAGACAGTGTGTGCTGGGCTCACTCGCATTGACAAGGAGACTCTGTCTCAAGGACAGTGTGACAGCCTGGAAATGAGCAAGGAATCCTTCAGGTACCTGAAGGATGAGCAGCTGTGCAGACTGAACTTGGGCATGCAGGAATACCGGATACCCCAGGGAGTCCAGACCCCCTTTGTGACACACCAGGAGCACTCTGTCCGCAGCAGCTTCCTGAAGACTGGCACTAAATTCAGTAACTTCATTCACGAGGAGCATCAGTCCAATGGAGGTGCCCTGGTCCTGCATGCTTACATGGATGAACTCTCATTTTTGTCTCCAGTGGAGATGGAGAGATTTGCAGAAGAGTTTCTTGCGTTGTCATTCAGTGAAAATGATAAAAATGCAGCTTACTATGCTTTAGCCATAGTGCATGGAGCAGCTGCCTATTTACCAGACTTCCTGGATTACTTTGCTTTTAATTTTCCAAACACTCCAGTAAAAATGGAAATTTTGGGCAAGAAGGACATTGAAACTACAACAATTTCAAATTTTCACTCTCAGGTAAGAACTATTCAAATGCATAAATGTTGCACAATACCTAGATTTGATTAATCTCAGTAACCCAGAGCAGACGTGATTTAAAATAGGCAAGTCACAAATGTATTTTCTGAGCAGATGAAGAAAGGTGATGTTATACTACACTGCTGTGCTGTGTATTCCTGCTTCTGCTTAAAGCTTTTCTGTGCTCCCTGGTAGCTGGTGAATCACACGTCAGACACTGCTACCTGTGACCTGAGGGAAGATCTGCACTGAGCATCTTTTTCTTCTAAACTTGGGAAAACACTGAAATTGTTCAAAACAACAGCCAAGTCTGTGTCAAGAATTGCACAGACTGCAAATGCTAACACTGCTTTTCTAGTCAGAGATGTGACTTGGTTTTTTTGCAGTGTTACTTTTCATGTTTCAGTATATCTGTTTCCCAAGGTTTTTAACATCTTAATTCCCTCAGTAGCTTGTGCTGTCTAAACTTTCTAACTTGTCAGTGGTTAGAGAATCTTTTTAATTCCCTTGAAAAGGAGCTTCGTTTTATTTACTCCCTCAGTTTCCATGGTAGGCTTAAACTAGTTTAAATTCTGAAATTGTATCTCCGTGTAACTTAAAGGGATGCAACAGTAAAAACTAAGCTAATTTTAAGATTCCCATATGAAAGTCTCTTGGATTTTAGCAGTGATGAGTATACCACAAGATTACAGTTTAGATAAAATTCTTTTTGATGGAACAAAGCTTCTTTCTTTTTAGTCTGAGAATGGATCCAAACTGCTGATTACCTTTAAGGTCTTTACTTGAGACATTAATTACATTTACTAGTTCACTAACCACTGCTGTGGGCAATAGCACTTCTGCACAGCACGCACCTGTGTGCTGCAGATGTGAAATGTGTCCACAGGTCAGGCTTTAAAGTCTTCTGTGTTAGTGATTTATCTGTGTTCTTTAGTTCCTGATTGCATTCTGGCTTGAGTACATGTGATGACCCCTGAAATGGCTAAACAGTCTCCAGAATGTTTACCAATTGCATTTTTGCTCAATGAATGTCCTGTGAACACGAATACTGGCACTATAAATACAAGTGAGGAATGTATGGTAATAAATAAGAGGCTTTGCTGGGCTATAGTCTGCTGGTACTTCAATTAATTCTATTTTAAGCACTGTCTAAACTTGATTAAGATTGAGTCATGACATAAGGTTCAGTTGGTCTAAACCACTTCTCTAAACCCAGCTTCAGCATGACCTGGTTAATCCTCTCTGGCTGAAGTGTGTTAGTGCCGTTCTCCCTCAGCAAACAGAGCAGGGGAGCTGTCACAGGCAGCTGGAGCAGGGCTCTGCAGGGAATACAGATGATGGAAAAGCTGAAGAAACATAGAAATTTGTGGTGGGTTCACCAAGTTTTGCAGGCTGCCTTGGCTTGGAATGGAGAAGTGCCCTGCTCGAGGGCTGGGGATGATGAATCTGGCTGTTGTGTTGCTGTTCCTTGGCAGCTCTGCTGAGGCTTGAACAGATTGGCCAAGCTTCACTTTTCACCCTTCTGTGAGAGAACTGTGCAGTACAGAAGCACTTCATAGTTGTGCTTTTGCAGATTAAACATGTTGCACTATTGTATGCTGTAACACTTGTTATTTATGTTTAAGTTGCCTCCATTCTGGGTTCCTTCTCTGTGCATGAGTTTGTTTTGCTGCGCTGACCTGTGCCAAGGGGTTTGGGAGCTTTAGGGAGTCTTGAATCCTGAAGATTCAGTGTTCAGAAATCAAAATTTGTTTTGTAAACTGCAAGTTAATGTGACCTTTGGCTTGCATGACATTCAACTGGTTTGTGTTTTTAGAGAAACTGAATTGTAGTATTCAAAATAAGGACTTTAATCTGAAGGACTTGGTAAGTCTTGTGATAATTAACTGCCTTGCAAGGTGAATTCCTTTGTTCTCAGGGCAGTGAGTTTATAGCAAAGCACTCCAATATGTATTTGTTACCTAAATGTTTGGTTTCGGTATCTTAAAATAATTAAGTTTTAGAGTCCTGAGGATTTTTTCTTGCATTGGCTCTCATGGGTTCTAATACTTCAGTACTGGAGCTCAGCTTTATTGTGGAGTTTTTCACTTGGGTTGAGAGCTTTCAAGACTCAAATCACTGAGCAGAAATTTGTAAGCTTTCCTCACATAAGGGCACGCTTTAATTTGGAAGTTCTTTGCAGTGCAGCTAGAATGAACTCTTATTTTCCTTATCACTTGTTTCTGTACAACTGCTTCCACTCAGTGAATGGGAATATATTTAGAGTTTTAAAAAAACCACTTCTGCTTTTTTTCCCAACTGATCAACTTGCCTGATGAATTCTCTCTCTGATCCAAAGAACAGTTACACTGTCACAGAGGGTGTGTGGGGTTTCTGGGAAGAGGCCAGGAAAGAGAATTGGGGAAGTAGGTTTTGCATAAGCTGCTCTTCCTTCTGGGAAGAATGTGAGAGAAGCAGCCAACAGGTGATAACTGGGTAAGTTTTCTTACTCCTGCTGTTCAGAATAGGTTGCTCTGTTCCTGACAGCTGTGGTTCATGAACCACATCATATGGGGTAGTTTGCCTACCCCATATGAACATCTCTGATTCTGGAGGGGTAATTTCTGTTTTTTTCACAGTAGCTATCAAAGTATGAAATGGAGAAATTGTGCATCTGTACTGCATCCTTCACTTGGTTTGTCACTAAAGCCATATAAACAATGCCCAGTGGTCCTGCACTATGTCAGATTTTAGTCAAGCATGTCACCCTTGCTGTGCTGTCCTTCAGCAGGAGCCAGCCTTGTGTTCTTGCTTTCTTCTTGTAGCCAAGGTTTTGTGTGGTTGGTTTTATAGCTGACTTGGCATGCTGAAATATTGTTGCTGTCAACTGATTCATGCTTTTCTTGCAACTGGAGAGAAACTTCAGAGACTTAACCTCATTTGTCTCTAGCTGATTCCTCATCTGTGTGTCCTCTTCTCATCCTGTGCTGCTCACTTAACCCGTGGTGAGGCCGGGGTGCCTCGGGAGCATTCAAATAAACAGCAGCTCTGAGCCTCTGCCGGGAAGCACTGCCTGTCTGCTTCTGTTCTCACCCAAGTGTGGGAAACACTGAGAGGCACGTGGTGCAGCAAGAGAAAATGTCTCCATGAGCACTGGAGCTAATTTTAAACGTGCCCATAACTCACTGTCAGTGTTGGTGTGTGGAGCAGGGGGTACACAGAGCAGTGGTGGCTGGGTGGCATTTGAAAGGGCACAGGCTGCCTGAGCAGTCTTACTGGCCCCATTGTCCTTTTGCAACAGTAAAAACAGTGGCAGTGACTGCTTGTGATCCACTGCTGCTTTTAAAGCAGCACAGGGAACAAATTATAGCAAGGGAGGTGCTGTGGTAATAAGTTACTGACTTCTGGCAGCTGTGTGAACTGGAGTGACCCTGGCTAAATTCCTAAACAAGAGTTGAACTTTAAACAAAAATAAAAATCACTGAGAGAAGAGACGTCCTAATGGATATAATGAAGTGACTTCAGCTATTTCATCATCTCAGCTTTCTTCCCTGCAATGAGGGGTGCACACAGGTGACTGTGGAGTGAACAGAGCTCAGAGGGAATCTGGAGCACCTGGTGAATGAAAGACCAAAGCAGCTTGCAGTGCAGCAAGCAGGGTGTGTACTCATGGGACACTAAACCATGCAGTTGTAAAGGGAGAGAAAGGTGCCTGTTCTTTCAGATGCTTATTGCATCATATTTTTGAGACCACTGGCCTAACCAGTGTTTTCTGCTCAGAAGGAATTAAGAATGAGAGAGCTGCTGTGAAGATTTTTATGGTATATTGAACTAGTAGACTACATCCCCTGTGATTGAGGTGCTTGAGATGAATAATACAGCCTGCTGGGGATTGCTGTGGGTTGGTGCATGTTGTCAGTGTAAACATGTCCTGGGTTGAATTCTCAAGTGTGTATATTCCTTTAGTTTATATTGAAAACTAGCAAAGCATTGAAATCAAATGTTTCCCTTAAGTATTTCTTCTGTTTGCTTTATAAGTCCTGAGTACTTGTCTGTTTTTCTATTGTTCCAGTGCATTAAAAAAAAACAAAGTTAAAGCTTCCAATTTTTCACTTCCTTTGAAAACATTACAAGAAAAAGCTTCATATGGAATTATAATTCATTTTAACTCATGACAAACACCTGTAAAATACTAGTGACTCTCACCAGGTGGTTTCAGTAGCACAGAACTGATCTGGAAGGAGTCTGTCTCCACTTAACACAAACAGTGCCAGGCAGTTAAATTTCACTGGATAAGGACCAGAACACTTCAGTCCTCAGTTTTTCTATAGATGCACAGAACAAAAATATTGCTGCGGTGTTCCAGTGCTCCTGCTCTGCTCTGAACTGCATTCAGCAAATAGAGTGAGCTAAATTTGTATAATTGTGAAATATCTATGGCTGCTACTGGAGGATAAAATTGCAGCAGTAACTTTATTCTTTATTAGTCTCTCCTAATTTACCTTTAACAACTTCATGGAGTAGTTTAATGACATTTGGTTTGCTGGCTAAACATGCAAAACTGAAACTAAACTTAAAGCTAAGCTGCTATGTCCATGGATATATAAGTGGAGTTCTAAAATGCATAACATTGGGTGAACATGACTGTTAAACTGCACATTTACCAGTAATTGTTTGTCCTGTCCCACCACTCAGCCATGGAGAGCAGCTGCAGTTTTTCACCCTGGAACAGTGAAGGGTGGTGGAAGGCTGGGGCTCAGGCACAGCTGACTTGTGCTCTGTAAAACTTGTGCTCTGTACATCAGTTATCTGTGGTGTCTGTGCAGAACCTCCTCTGTGGCCTTATGGCACATTCCAGCTGCAGTCCATAGGATGAGGCTATAGAACACTGGAGTCTTGCCAGTGCCTCTCCTCTGGGAACAGGAAGTTCACAAGAGAAGTTTCCAGATGACCCAGCAAAGTAGGACAGTCTGTGTCCTACAGGATGTCCACGAGCTGTGAGATTAAAGTTTTTCTGACCCCAGCACTGACAGCAGGTTCTACTGCAAATGGCTATCCTAAAATTCTTCTGCATGAGCACTGGCTTTCCAGCTAAACTCCTCATTTCATCTGTTTTTTGTCCAATTTCCTGTGTATAATATGACCAGAACCACTGCATGAAAGACCCTGAGGTTTTTCACTGCAGTCCCAGAGGAAGGACCTCAGGGACAGCACTGAACTGAGGAATGTGCATATCCCAGGAGCATCCGGTTTGAAATGGAGAAGCAAAAGTCCAAATGCACAAACTAGTGGAGAGTTGAAGCTTGCTGGTGAGAGACTGAGTCACAATGAAGCCTTGTGTGGTTGTTTTCTCAAGTCAGCCTGGAAGTGCTGAATTGTTCCTGAATTAGTCAAATATTCACTTGCTGTTGTTCAGACTCCAGAAGGATTTCCTGTCAGGAGTACAGGCAGGAGTCCTTTCTTTCTCTTCTGTTCTAAACAGTCCCTGTGCATATTTCCAAAGGCACATCTGCTGAAACAGATGTAGAGGAGTTCAAGATTGATCCCAGCTGTGTTAGATCAGTCACTTTTATCCTCCTGTGAGAGAACTAAAGCTGTGCTGGTGTTGTGTTCCTGTCTGGCCCTCAGGTCAATCGGACGTACTGCTGTGGCACCTACAGAGCAGGACCCATGCGCCAGATCAGCCTGGTGGGAGCAGTGGATGAAGAAGTGGGGGACTACTTCCCAGAATTCCTAGATATGTTGGAAGAATCTCCATTTCTTAGAGTAAGCAGTAACTTTTGGTGTGTTCAGAGCACTTTAGATATTTAAGCAATTGTTAGGTTTCCAAGTAATTAGGAACTGTAAGGTATTTTCTTTATTGATGTGCTTATTTGGGCTACTGAGGTTCATTCTTTCCTGTGTCCAATTGAAAGGCATGGAATGAGGTGGCTAATTAAAAATAATCAAGTTTATTATATATACTTGCAATACATGCACTTCTACTTCCCTAAAAACTATGCTTGATAAAATTAGCATTGAATATCTTTTACCTCTCAAACTTGCTTAGTTTCTATGCAATTTTTTTGACAGCAGATTTGAACCAGTTTTACCAAAAGCATCGTTTAATTTTTCTATCTCACCCAGTGTTTTGTGTTATGTGTATTTTGTGGGTTGTTTTGTTCCTGTTTTCTTTTAGATGACTTTGCCCTGGGGGACTCTTTCCAGTCTCAGACTGCAGTGCAGGTCCCAGAGTGATGATGGGCCCATCATGTGGGTGAGGCCGGGAGAGCAGATGATCCCCACAGCTGATATGCCAAAATCACCCTTCAAACGGCGCCGGTAAGGTTTGGGGTCCTTTTGTACTTGAGGTAGAACATTGCAGTTAAGTCTGTGTCAGATTTGGGAACAAAAGCTAAATATTTGATGTGTAACTGGCTCTTCAGAGGACTAATTCACATTTAAGTTTCACTTTCACTTTGTTTCAAATTGGCTCAGCTGATAAAGTAAATGTTACCCTTGGTGGTTATTTTATTTCACTACTTCTGACAGTATCTTTCAGTACTTCTCACATATCCTAGATCAGTGCTTTAAGGTTAAAACCTCTTTTTATTATCCTGCAGACTTAATTCTTCTTATTTCTGTGAACCAATTTGGTGGTGAGGGCATGTGGAATGCTGTAAAACAGTAGCGATCCTTCCACTGCTCCTGCTGCCTTCTAAAGTCAGTGCTAAAGCACTTATTACACTGCCTGCCCATGAATTACTGTGTATTCTTGCTTTCTGTCTCTGAAAGAGTGCTCTAAAACAAATTTCAGGAGATTTGGAAGTATATTTTAGTTGTCATTTCAAGAAGAATATTTGGATGTACTCCCAAATAACTGAAGCTCCGTTTCTGTAAGATAGCTCTGTTTTACATACTGGTACATTTTTGGAGGAAATCTTTCAGCACAAGTAAACACAAACATTATGTGATTTGATTTGTTTCATAAAGTTTGATCTTATAACCTGAATTGTACTTTGCTGGTTTTGTTTTGATCTTTCACCAAATCAACACCTAGAAAAAAATCAGAGGGAAGTCCTTTGTTCCCTTGAAGCCTGCAGCACCCAGAATTTTAAGATTATTTCAATACAAATGTGAATTTTTGAGCAGCAGGGACATTTTTAGTGTGTGTTTTTCTGCTGTTGCAGGTCCATGAACGAGATCAAGAACCTGCAGTACCTACCTCGGACCAGCGAGCCCCGCGAGGTCCTGTTCGAGGACAGGACCAGAGCTCACGCTGACCACGTGGGGCAGGGCTTTGACTGGCAGAGCACAGCTGCTGTCGGGGTGCTCAAGGCTGTGCAGTTTGGGGAATGGTAAGTTGCTGCTGGGATGCAACACTTCTTTTTCTAAAAAAAAAATAAAATTCCTTTCAAAATAAACCTAATCATAAATGGTTTAAACCCTATAATGTGACAATGGCTGGAATTGTCTGCCCAGGGAGGTGATGGAATCACTGGATGTGTTTAAAAATAAAGCTTGGACGTGGCTTTAGTTTTAAAAAATGTTATATTTTTAAAAATAAAGCCTGGACGTGGCACTCAGTGCCATGGTTTAGTTGATGAGGAGGTGTTAGGTCACAGGTTGGACTAGATGATCTTAAAGGTCTTTTCCAACCTAGTTCATTCTGTGGGTCAAAAGCTGCACAGAGCTGAAAACCTCAAGCTGTGTACGTCTTGTTTTTCCGTCTTGAGGCAGTAAAAAATTTGGAACAGCAGCTTGCAGAATATTTTAGTGATATACAAAAGCCTTAAACTTGGACTGTCGTCCTTGATTATTCCTTTCTTGAGCAGGTATATTAATTCTAGCTTTTGTAACTGTAGTCTAAGGGCTCAGTGTAATTAATTTCACAGCTGCAGTGCTTTCTCAGGTCATGTACCCAGGATATTGCTGTTGACCTTGCAGAGAAACTGGACTTGCATCATTATAATAATAGTTAGAAATTACATTAGAAATTGGATAGCGTTATTAGCATTATCATTAGAATAAAAGATGCCAGTATTTCCTATATTGTTGAATAAAACTCCTCACTGCTTCAACTTCAGTGTTACTTTGTAATTTTGTATTTTTCCCTTAATGCAGAATTATTCTATTCAATTATAGAATGGAAGAATTGAGGCAAGTAGTGGTTCCTACAACACAGAGAACTTTGATAGTGGCAGTTTGAACCTGGTTCTCGGGCTTTTCAGTGCATTGTCCATGCAAACATCCCTTCTGTTGTGAATGCAGCAAAAATGGAGAAAGAAAAAAGGGAAATATATTAATTATACCTGTTTTTCAAAATAATACACTATTGAGAATGTTGAGCTTTTGTGCACAGTGTAACACTCAAGCAGGTCATTGGTTCAATGAAGCTTTCTGCTGGGAAGAGTTGGAATGCTCTGTAACTCAAATAGTTCAAAAATTCCTGGAATTCTCTTTTTTTTCTAGGAGTGACCAGCCTCGTATAACCAAAGATGTGGTTTGTTTTCATGCTGAAGACTTCACTGACGTTGTGCAGAGACTTCAGCTGGACCTGCATGAACCTCCAGTGTCTCAGGTATCAAATCTTCCCTTGTGACAGCTCCTTCCTGCTGTTTAGAGAGGAGTTTCTGACAGATCCCAGCTTCTCCCTACAGTCAGCCCTTTAGTATCCTCTCAGTTCTCAGCTCTCTTGGGTGAATTTCCTTGTGTTTCAGGATAAAATAGTTGAGTTGGAAGGGACCTTTTCCTTTCCTCCAAGCTGGGGTTCATTCTGTGAGTCCCAGCATGTGCTATAGAAACAACCTGTTGATTAAGCCATATGTGCCTGTTCTTGCTTCTTCTGATGTTGTCTTAGGCTATGGAAACATCTAAACTCAGTCCTGTTAGCCCAAACAGTGCAGCCCATTGTTGTTGTTTTTAACTGTAACTACAGAAACCTTTTCATTCTCCTCTCAAGATGTCCTCTCAAGACATCAGAGAAATTGTATTTTTAAAGTCCAGTTTTCCTCTGAATTTGAAGTTTTACCCATGAAACAGAGACATTCTTATTTAGACATGAATTCTCTTGAAAATAGGAAGATGCTGAGTTGTTTGAAGAGTTTACCACTAACTTTCCCATCTCTCCTTCTCCCAGTGTGTTCAATGGGTGGACGAAGCCAAACTAAACCAAATGAGACGGGAAGGCATTCGCTATGCTAGGATTCAGTTGTGTGACAATGACATCTACTTCATCCCTAGAAATGTCATTCATCAGTTCAAAACAGTGTCAGCAGTCTGCAGCTTAGCCTGGCACATCAGACTCAAACAGTATCACCCCGTGGGGGAGACTTCTCCAAAAGCAGAAAGCAATTCAAGCCTGAACAGTGATGTTCCTGGAAATACAGAGGCAGAAGGTGAACCCCAAGGAGTGAGTGTAAAAATAGAGTCTGAAGAACCAGGTATAGAAATTCAGCTCTCCTCTGTTTCTTCAATATCAGGACTTGTGCAACCAGATCAGGTGGCGCAGCCCCTTCCAGGTTTTAAAATAGAGTCTGATCAGCAACACAATCCACAGGATCATGCAGGCTCTTCTGTGTGATATGTATATATTCAAACATTTTTTAAACAACTTTTTAAAATTTTGATGTGAAGTTATAGTTTTATAACTGGCTTATGTTTTATTGGAGAAATCTTGCCTATAATTCTATAAAGAAAGGTGACATTCCAAAATGTCAAGCATATCTTTTTTACACAGATTATGCAAAATTCAAGTTGTATTTTAACCCCTTAGTACAACCTGTAACAGTGGTCTACCACTTCTTTCTGTTTAAGTAAAGAGATGTTGAATATCTTCTCAAAATCAGATTGAAATTCCTCCAGGAATATGAAATGATTGAGCTCCATTGGTCAGTGTTATTTCCCTACTTTTACTTTATCTCTAATCTTCACCAGAAAGTGATGCTTTTGTAGAAGACTTGCAAAGTGATTTCCCCATCTCATTTTAATTGCTTAAAAAAGGAAAAAAAAAAATGGAAAAAAAAAAAGAAAAAAGAAAAAATAGAGAAAGCACAGCACTTTTGATGATTTGTGGAATTTTCGGTATGTCTGTTCTTGACATGTTGGTTTATATACAAGCTATAGAAATTGATGTTTCTTACAGTTCCTACAAGGGTGACCTGTAAAAAGAACTGAAGCAAGTGTCTGATTCCTGTTGAAATGCAATGACTTACTGACCTAACACTTCTCATAGCACTGCTTATGTTGTTTGGTGTGGGGGTTTTTGCTTCCAAAATACATCTTCCCTGAATGTGATAAATGCTAGTGTCAAAATTAGAGAACCTCTTGGTAGTCTTGTGGAGGAAACTGCTATCTTTGAGCACTTTAAGGCTTTAAAATACTTAACCAACTTGGCAGCTTGTTTTGATCGGGTCGTAACGTGTCCAATGGATCCACAATTTCCCTTGTACTGATGCACTTAATATAATAAGCATTGAGCTGATACCTGACTCCCTAGAATAAGGACAGCCTTACTGTGTAAGTTCTGTATTAGTATTTCACAATAAAAAGTATTTTGGCGTTGGACTGCTTTTTCCATGTGTAGCTCCTGGGTGCCCAGTTACTGTGGAAAAATCAGCAGCACGTGCTCAATGTGTAGAGTGTCAGCTATCAACAGTTTTTAAACAATCTTTCAATATTTCTGGATGTTAACGTGTAACCTGTATTTGACTTTCACTCACCCCATTTATTACTGCCCTTTCCAGTCATCAAAAGGAAAAGTCCCTTTTCCCTCCTCCCCCCTCCCCACATTTAGAGTACAAGTTGGGGTTTGGTGCAACTTAAGCTGTCTCCAGATAACTTTATTTGTTCTAATCCTCACTGGGGAGGAAAGATTTGAAACACTATGTTAGACTAGACAAAAGCAAAGATGCTGTGTTAGTTCTGGATGCATCTTTTTAATATCAATTATTACTCTTCTCTTTATAAGGGTCTCTAAAATATGTTACTCTATTATAAATCTTACTTTGTGCAATATTGTTTGTGTAGGCTTTTATATACATATTAGCACCTCAGTGTAGAGGTCACTATTTTAAACTGATAGAGAAATAATCCTCAGAAGATACTGCAGTGATTAGTTAGAACCTGTATTACTCCTTATGTGTATGTATGTATTGTCTTCGGTACAAAAATGAGGACTAGGAAATATTTCAATTTAAAACTAATTTACAGATTGAAGTGGTAGTGACTCGTTTAGTAATCTGTGTAAATAAGGTGTTAGAATGGAAAGCTTTTATGATGAGAAGTAATGTGATTCATGCAGGGGTGTAATTTAATCTTAGCAGAAATTCTAGATGACTCAGCGCGGCTCAGAGATGAGCCGTCAGTTCTCTGGTGGGTTTTTTCCACTTTTTATGTTGAGAGGAATTTCATAGCTTTAAGGGTTGTGCAAAGTAAAATTCCTCACAGGCAATAGTGGTTTCAGTTCATCCTTCACATTCAAAGATTCCCCAGGGGTGTTCTTTCCTTTTGACCAAGTCTGCGAGTCTTCCACGTGCCTGTTCCGCCTCTCCCGTGCTGCTCCTGCCCGTCCCGTCCCCGGGGTGCCTTCCCTGGTCCCTGGCAGCCAGCACTGATCTCTCAGGAACTGTCACACCTGCAGGGACCTGCAGAGGCAGAGCAAGCAGGGCGAGAGCCCTCGTGCACCAACCTGTTTGTTTGTTGGGAAAATTGCAATGGAAGGAAGAGGGAATCCATTTGGAAGTCCTCTGTAAATTCTAACAGCACGTTTTCAAGTGGATGAAGGCTTAGGGTGGTTTGTGCTGCTTTCCAAGCTGTAGCTTTAGTGAAATCTGTGACAACAGCCTATAGTACCAGGAAAATGCTGACTTCCTCCTGCATGGAGGGACATGACCAGTAGCGTCATGCTCTCTGTGCTCTGCTCAGTTACTAACTTAAAACCTAATGTCAGATTTAAATGCACATAAATAAAGGTATCTTTGAATGACCTGAATGTTGCTGATGCTATCCTACTTTGGAAGACTGAGGGAGAGAGGAACAAGCTGTTTGAGAATCTCTTACTAAATCCATGCTCAGCTTTGCTGTGCTTTAACCAAACTGACAGGCTTCAAATTCCATCTAAACTCTGGATGTAAAGTGTGAGAGGGATTGCTTGGGAAGCTGCTCATCCCCAGCCATTGCTTCAGTTGCCCAGAACAAAGCCTTGATGGGACAAATGCAAATGTTTCCCAGCACAAGACCTGTAGAACACTGATTTCTTTTAATGAGCTAGAGTAGTTTAGAGAGGAAGTAACAAGTTCAGGCCACTTAGTATTTGAGCAGAACAAATCCAGTAAATATTTCTGAGTATCTCATGTTAAATAGCTGCTATTTGAATTTCTCCAAGATTTCCTAAACCAGGCTTCTTAATGAGCTCATCACCTTTGATTTGATGTGATTTTTTGAGCCACATTTGATGACTTGTTCTAAGGCTGAGGAACTTTGGGCTGTTAAGTGTGGACTCCTCACAGCTCCTTCCAGGATCTGCAGGGGCTGCAGCTGGAGAGGGGCTGTTCATCAGGAACTGGGTGACAGGACAAGGGGAATGGATGCAAATCAAAAGAGGAGGAATTCAGGTTAGAGATGAAGAAGAAATGTGATGGGTGGTGAGGATCTGGTTGCCCAGGGAGGCTGTGGATGCCCCAGTCCAGGAAGTTTTTAAAGCCAGGTTGGGCAGCCTGGCCCAGCTGGAGGTGTCCCTGCACATGGCAGGGAGTTGGGACTGGATGATTTTTAAGGTCCATTCCAACACCTTAACATTCTGTTACCCTCAGTGGAAAGCAGATGCAGCACAGTTCCTAAATACAAATGTGCTGGTCAGTTCTGCAAATCCTCAGTGCTCCATTTGTGAGGATCTGCTCGGTGATGTGTGTCAGGTAGAAAATACTCCAGCTTTGTGCTGGAGACAGCTGTCACTGACCAAATGCTCTGTGTGTGAAACAGAACCGAGGCTTAGGCTCGACTTTAAATCAAGTGCTGGTGACTGAAAAATCCCAGGGATAGAGTGGTTCGGTTTTGTTAGAAATGGACTAGCAAATGCAGCGTGCAGCTGAGCTGGCAGCTGCCTTTGCTTTCCTCTCTCCTGTAGACCAGCTCCAGGTCGCTGTGTGCAGGTTCCTGCAGGTTCTGTTCCAGGAGCGGGGACACCAGCAGGTGTCCCCAGGGCATTCTAAGGGACACTTCTCCCAGGGCTCTGCTGCGCTCTGCCAGGTTTCCTGCGTGTTTCAGGTCAGTTCCCCGGGACAAGGCAAATTGTCCGAGCTTTCCCCGAGCGCTCCAGCGCTTCGGGCTGGGAAGGAGCTGCGTGCTGAGCTCCGCCGTGCTGCCGGGGGTGGGAGAGGAGCGGAGGGACCGTTCCTGTCCCCCAGAGCGTGTTCTGTCCCTTCCCGTGGGCTCCGAGCAGCGGCCAGGGCACCCCGAGCATTCAAACACCGCTTTTCCCGATTTCTCTGTACAACATGTAAAGATACCGACTCCTGTATTGCTGTTTCGTGATTTAATTTGATTTGATTGGCAGCTACGATTATTTTTTTCTGTGGTTTTAATTTATCTAAGGTCTCTGCCTCCAGAGGACGTGTACAATTGCCTGGACGACTGTTTGCTTTGTGCGGCCTTAGTGTATTTATTGACATTCGCGCGTGTGCGGGGGCGGCCCCGCGCCCCCCCGCGCTGTCGGTAGCTGACTGTACACCAGTGTCAAACCGTTAAGCTATTTCTTTGTAAAATAGTCCTGCGGAATGCATAGAATTTTTTTCCTGTAAAGTATTTTTTTAAATAAACAAAAGTCTGATTTTGTCCTTTACCCGCTTGGGCGCTTCTTTCGTCCGTGGTTTGGAGGGGGGTCGGGGCGGCGCTCGGCGCTCGGCTGGCGCTGCCTGGGTGGGGGGGCGGCAGGCGGAGCCAGTCGAGCGCCGGGCGGTTTCCAGGGTAACGGGAGCGGGGTCGGGACCGGGCCGGGGTCGGTGCCGGGCCGGGGTCGGTGCCGGTACCGGGGTCGGTGCCGGTCCCGCCGCTCCCCATGGCCTGCCGCGATGCCATTTCATGGTACCAGAAGAAGGTGAGTGCGGCGCGGGGCGGGCGGGCGGGCGCGGGCCCGGCCGTGCCCTCAGCCTCCTCTCCCCACAGATCGGGGCCTACGACCAGCAGATATGGGAGAAGGCGGTGGAGCAGACCCAGATGAAGGTACCGGCGGCGGGGGGGAGAGGGAGGGTGTGCCCCGCTCCCCTCGCCGCTAACTCGGCCGTGTGTTCCTCCCCGCAGGGCTTCAAGAATAAGCCGAAGAAAAAGGGGCACATCCAGCCCGACCTGATCGACGTGGATCTGATCAGCGGTGAGCGCTGCTGGCTCTGTTCCTTCCTCCCTGGGACGGGGATGGCACCAGGGAGCGGCCGGAGCTGGCTCACAGGAGGGTTTGTGTGAAAAACGCCAATCACTTGGTTTTTACAATTTTTAAAAGCTTAATAATAATAAAATGATTGTAAAAATAATAATACAATTAGAGTGATAAGTTTTAGAGTTAGGACAATTACAAGACAGTAAAAAGCAAAGAATTGCGGATGTCTGGATGCTCTTGGTCACTAAGTCACAAAAAGCATCTCTTGTGAACAAAGGCATTACCTTAAAAGCAACAGCCTGTTGCATATTCATCTATCTCATACATGAGGCACAAATTCCTTGCAAATTAAGAACTTTTCTGGTTTTTGTCAAATTCTCCTTAATCTTGGTGGTTCCAAAAAGATGGAGAGAAGGTGGAAGAATGTTTGTCTTTTCTGATAAGGAGGCCGTAACTTTTCATGGGCCCCCTTCCCTGACATCTCTGTCTGAAGAGTTTCTTGATTATCTCATCTTTCTGCTTGAGCTTGTAACAAATTCTATATCATAGACTTTCTATTTTAACATTATGTTGTAATCTAAAACTACATTTATCACACTACTTAAGAGAATTAATACAGCATAACTTTATAACATCACACCATATAATATTCATTGTAACATTTGTGAAAAGCCAATCATTAGATATATGTTTTTCACAGTTTTATTGGGTATCAGGAAGGTTCCTTCCCCAGAGATGGGCACAGCTGCCAGGGCTCCAGGAGAACACTCCCAGGGATGCCCAGGGTGGCATTGTTGGGGTGTCTGCAGGGACTTGGCGATCCCTTCCAGCTCAGGATATTCCATGGTTCTGTAGGTGCATCCCAGCTCTGTGCAGGGTGGGGGAAGCAGAACCTGCCCTGCTGCCATGGGAGCCCCCTGAAAACCTGAGAGCAGGGCAGGAGGATTTGGGGTGGCCCTGCAGGAGTGCTCGGGGGGAGCAGGGTTGGGTGGGCAGGGAAGGGCAGAGCCAGAGCTCTGAGGGAAGACAAGGAGCTGCTGTAGCTGTGTCTGCTAGAACTGTGCAGCTCTGAATGGTGCCTGAAACTGGGCTGCTGTCACCCCCTGCTCAGCCCTGTGGCAGCTGGGGCTGCCCAGAGGGGAATTCCAGCAAGGGAGTTCTTGTGATTCACAGTTAATGGTGGCTTGTTTCTCCTTTAATTCCAAGGCTCTACCTTTGCCAAAGCCAAGCCTGAAATTCCCTGGACATCTCTGACGAGGAAGGGAATTGTGAGAGTGGTGTTTTTCCCCTTGTTCAGCCAGTGGTGGATACAGGTCACCTCCCAGCGAATTTTTACATGGCTCTTGGTGCTCTACATTATGCAAGGTGAGGGAACAGGCTGTGCCATAAACCTTGTCCTGCAAAGAATGTGACATCAAAGATGGGGAGATGAGTTAGGGGTGGCCCTGGCAGTGCTGGGGGAGTGGTTGGACTCGATGGGCTCAGAGGGCTTAGCCAAGCTTAGTGAGGCTGTGATTTTGTAGTCCGTAATCTAAAGCATGAGGATCTTGTCTGGAATCTACTTAATGTGCGTTTCATGGTGTGTAGCACTAGTAATTGCAGAAATTAAGTAACAGTACAACAACAACAATACAATACAACAATAACAATTGCAGAAATTAAATAACAGTACAACAAAGCAGAATAAAAAGAAATAGTTGAAACAGACTCTTTAATTTTTGCCTTTCCCCATTTCCAGTTGTAGCAGTGGTGCTGTACTTCATGGTGCCTGTTGTGAGTGCCAGTGAAGTGATGGGACCCCTGTGCCTTATGCTGCTGCTGGGGACAGTTCACTGCCAGATCGTGTCCACGCAGGTGAACAGAGCTGCAGGGAGCAACGGGCTCGGCCGGCGCCGCAGGTGAGCACCAGCAGGGCCCTCACTGAGCTCCCAGCTGGGCATGCTGGGGCTGCACCCAGCTTTCCTCCTTCAGGTGGCTGCAGCAAACCTGATTCCCTCCTGATTTTGTCCCTTGTGCCTTTCCCAGGGATACGCAGATGTGCTGGGGGTATAGGCAGAGTTTTTGTATTTGGAAAATACATTCTGTTTGTGTGGCTTCAGAAAAAAAGCCATCCAAAAAGCTGTTCCAGTCTCATTCAGATCTTTTAAAGAAGGCCTTAAAGTAGCTTCTTACACCAACTTAATTCTCCTTGTCTTAAAATTCAGGAAGTTACGCAAACCTGTGGGTGTGGATGGGAGCAGTTGGTGTTCTGACAGAACCAGCAAGGAAGAGCAGTCTGGCTCTGCATCTCTGCTGACCAATTTATCCAGCCTGCTTTTCCAGAGGAGGTACGTGGTTCCTGCTGGGTTTGTGCTGCTCATGACACTGGCAGCAATTTGGTACTTGGAGGATGAAGGCACAGCGTGTGCTGTCACTGACATCCCCACAGCCTGTCAGTCTTTTCTTGAATTAAAACTTCCATGGTAATGTGGGAAGCTGATTCCTCAGGAATATTTAGTATGTCCTTATTAGATCATATAAAATTAGACTGTATAAAATTAGATCATGTGAAACCAAGTGTTACATGAGCTGTAGAATGTGGTTGAGTTTATTTTTATTAATCAGATAAGTGACCTTGTTTG